TGCTCCCCAAATGCAAAGGAATAAAAAAAAATTTCAAGAAAAACACATTTACTATGTTCATCCCACACTTTCATTTTTAAAAAATTTTGTAGACTGCGTAGACTTTTGGGGGTTTTTTTTTGGTACCGGGGATCGAACTCGGGTCCTTGCACTTGCGCAGCAGGCAGCGAAACCACTGAGCTAAATCCCCGGTGACTTTTGGGTTTTTAACCAGTGTTAAAAATACAGCTTTGAGACCCATCCAAACTACTGAGCCAGTCTCCATGGGATAGATCAGAAATCTCATTTTAATAAACTTCACAAGTGATTCAGAAGTCTTTATATCTTGAGCTACTACAAACCACTAGACCCTGTAACCCAATCACCTCAAAGGGCAGACTGAGGAACTCAAGAGGTACCAATATGCAGGGCACACAGAGACAAGTGCTCAGAGGCACACCCAGAAATATGCACTTCTTCATACATTTTGTCATATTTCCAATGGATCCTTTATTTTCAAAAATTCTGAACTTTAAAAAAAGGTACTTATAATCATTGGTTCATTCATTCAACAAGCATTTATTAACATCTAGAATGTGCTAGGAACTTTTCTAGGTACTTGGGATACAGCAGGGAACAAAAGAATTCCCTACATTACATTCTAGTGAAACATGTTCTGCTCTTGCAGCAAGGTAAGTGGTTAAAAACTGAATGGACAAATACCACAACCTCAGCAAATCAAGAGCCCCCAGTCTGGCAGATGTTCACTGTTATTTTTCAATTTGTATCTTTCTGCATCCTAAAAATAGCTGGTGCCTGCCCTTTGGCAGAATGGGAAACAGATGTAAGGAGACAGAGCTGGTCTGAGATTAAGTTCTTGAGAGTATTTTAACATACAAGGAGTGATTTTTTAAAAAAGGTTTACATTTAAAAATGAATCACAGTAACACACAACCATTAATCCCCTCAATACTGCCCTCCCCCAACTTCAAATGCACTTACCTCATCATTCTTAACACTTTCTGAAGCAGTTCTGGAAGTTTTATGAAAAGTGTGTTGTTATGGCTATCTTGATGTCCTGAATCAATTCAAAACATTTACTTTTCAAAACATTTACTTTTCATGGTCACTTTGATTTCACATGTTGCCAGATTCGGGGAATAAGGATATACCATAACATTTTTGAGTCTGTCTTCCTGCTGGGATGGCACTCAGCAGGGGCATTCATGTATCACACCTTGTAAAGACATGGAAGAGGACTTCCAGAACTGCTTCAGAAAGTGGCAAGAACAATGGGATACGTATCTGAATCAGGGAGGTATATTTTGAGAGGAATCGACATCTTTTACTGCAATAAATTCTTTAACAATTTGCACATTCACTGTATGTTTTGATTGCTCCTTGTACAAGTGATTGTGCTCTGTAAGGCACATCTTACTTTGACTTCGACATTTCTCTATAAAGTCCCCAACTTACAACATTCAAGTGGTAAACTTTCACAGGTGTACAGTATATGACTGACTTTATCAGATACAAAGGAATCCGACTTACCAATGTTCTCCCAGAGGTTTCCAATCAGACCTCCGGAGGTCTGATCTACCCCATGGGACTTAAGGTACTCCCTTTTCTCCCCAGCTAACTATATGCTGAAGAGGGACTGAGTCTTACACCTACTGTGTTCCCAGCACCCAGGTCAAGAGCCTGGAAAGATAATGACTCCATTTGTTGATTGCTTCCATGGCATGAGTGCAATGATTCATAAAGGTGTGTGCCCTTAACGTATAATGCTGATGCTACAAATACTGAGGCAAGGCAGAAAGTAGTTACCATCTGCTTACGTGAATTTAGGACTATAAATATATCTTCAAAATGGAAAGGTTTCACCTTACATATGGGATGAAAACCTGCATACCCATGACTTAGAAAAGTTTATTTTCAAAAGTAATTGCTACTTTAAAAAATTCTTAGTGATTTTTAACTACCGACATAGTGAATTTTGCATGTTTCACCCATTCCACATAACCTAGAAGTTGGATTGCTCATCCTAATTCAACTATCTGTGATGCATGGTAAAGGTACTCTAGCCACTGACTGGGGGCTACATGCCAGAAATAAGGTCTGAGTCCATCAAAATAGTATCATCAAAATAATCAGAAATTGCACTGCTAACCATTTCTAAAACAGCTAAAAGCAATGGCAATTATAGGAATCTGGTTTTACGTACTCACAAGCAGTGGTAATCCCCTCTATAAAATGTATAAATCAGGCATGGTGGCACACACCTGTAATTCCAGAAGCCTGGGAGACTGAGACAGAAGCTTCGTAGGGTGGTCAAGACTGGCCTGGACAATTTACAGGACAACTTACTCTATCTATCTAAAAATGAAAACAGAAAGAGCTGGGGAGGTAGCTCAGTTAGCCCTTAGGGTCAAGCTCCAGTAACAGAGAACAATCAACCAATCAAACCTAGTCTAGACCATAATACCCTTCTGGAGTATTTCTAAAGTGTCCACATCCTTCTCTGTTCTCAATTATGAATACAGTTTTTATCCATTCCCTAGGAGTTCAATGTACAGTATACACTGTTCACTTCCCAAAAGATGTAAGTTTTGGAACAGTAATATCTTCTTGATCTCTTTTCTTCCCTAGCTACCATGGAAAGCAGCAGTTCTTTGACTCTGAAAACATGTGACAAAACTACATTGTTTTGGGATAATTGGTTTTTGTGTGTTGAATGTAATTCTAAGAAGTTACCTGAGTTGGATTTTAAAAATTGAGTTTAACATGCTTTCAGTATTAGAGCTTTTAGAAAAAAATCTTTCTCTTCACCAAGAAAATGTTTCTAAATAAATCACAAGGATTGAAACATAAATCTGTAAAGTTTACTATCATGGAAATGCTGACATTTTACAAAGAAATTGAAGCTCAGACAGAGTAACAAACCTAAAGTCTTGAACAGAGCTGCAATTGTTCTTGTCCCTGTACTACAACAGAAAGTACATTCAGGATTTATATCTTTCAACAATACACAAAGGTCTGTGCCCCTCTCTTCAGCTGTACCTGGAACAGAAATGTTTCAGGCCTAGGAATATTTGCATAGACTTTATTGGTTGAACACACCAAATGCAAAAAAAAAAATTTTTTTGGCACCAGGGATCGAACTCAGGACTTTGCACTTGCGAGACAGGTGTGGAGCCACTGAGCTAAATCTCTGGCCTCAGAATCCAAAATTCTTTTTTTTTTTTTTTTTGGTACCAGGGATCAACTCGGAACCTTGGGCTTCCAAGGCAGGCAGCAGCACCACTGAGCTAGATCCTCGGCCCCAGAATCCAAAATTCTGAGTTGTCACGTCAGCACTCAAAACATTTACATTTTCGTATATGTGCTGCCGAAGCAAGCACCAAAACATTTACATTTTAGAACATTCAGACTTCAGATTTCTGAATTAGGGATACCCAACTTATATTTTATTTACAAGTTAAATCTTTTGTTCTGTTTCAAAAGACTAAATTCATGAACTTATTTAATCCAGTAACTAATTAGGACAGCACCTGCTTCACTTTTAGGGACAACCTCTTTTCCAGTTCATTACAAGGTAAGGTACATTTATTGAGGTGTACCTTTAACATCTAGCTTCCAAGATGAAAAACAAAACAAAACTAAACACCACTGTAGTAGTTTCCATTTCCAACTAGACTGATAGAGCTATCCTGTCCTGGATATCACCTTCTAAACTGGGACCACTTTGTTAGTGCGACATACCCAGAAAGAACACAAAAGTTCTTGAGCACTGGAAATTGGCACTTAAACTAGTCTAATCCCAAGAACATGGCAGAACAGAATAAATGAAATTCAGAATCATCTATAAAAATAAGTGAAGGGCTTATTAAGGGGGAGAACCCAGAAGTTATTATAATTTATAGAAATTTATTCTTTAAAAATACTTTCACGTACACTTCAAAATTATTTTGTTTGAGGGGAACAAGATTATCCTAGTCAATGTTAGTTTAGAACATAAGTGACGTGTAACAACACATTTTGGAAATAACTAGCAAAAGAAAAATGCACGTTTATACTTATGTAAGAGATATGTAAGATCTCAGATTAAATGGAACCACATTAGAGTAATGTAAATCAAAACCTGTGATTTTCTGATTTCTCCATTACTGTAATCTGTAACACTGCAAAAATGAGTTACCCCCATTTGCAAATCATAATTGGCCAAGAAAAAGGGAAATTCTATCAGAAAAGTGATAAATCTGAATCATGATACAATATGCATCCTCTTTTATTTTAATGTTTAACATACTGTAGCAATTCTACCAATAAAAAAAGTTACTATTTCAGTAAAGAGTACTTTTATGGGGGGAAAAAAGCTGAGCTTCTTGTCTAGAAAAATCCTTTCATTATCTTACATTACCTAATACAGCAAAAAGCCTTTAAAAATGCATTAGTAAAGATTCAATTTGCATGGGAAATTCACTTCCCACAATATGGCTAATCATCTTTTTCACTGAATGATTTTAAATGGCAGAATCCTCCTTCAGAACAGAAAAATATAGCATCTTCAATAGAATCTCAAGACATAGTTATATTTACAGGACACTATCTATAATCAGAAATCACCAAGAAGGAAAAAAACTATCATTTCATTGTCCTTTTCCTCTGCAGTCAAGTATAACTACAAAAACTAAGGAGATCCAGGAAACAATGAAACATGTTCTAGATGAAGTAAGTTTCCCAGAACAAACAATTCTCATAAAATAGGTTTTTTTTTTTCTTTTCCCCCTGAGAATCAAGTTAATGTATCACTGGATTACAATCGAGGCAAAGACAAGAGCTCTAAATCCTCTATCATGTCAAGATCAAAATCATGTAAATACTCTGCTTTAAAAAGCTAAAATGGTGCTCGCTTTGGCAGCACATATACTAAAAATCTAAAATGTACAAATGAAGAAAACATAAGTAGCAAGGCATGGTGCTTCACGCAGAAATTTGTATTTGGTAAAATATACAAGAAGTGATATTTGGGAAAAAATTTATTGCTCTTGATGGAATATAGCACCACTTTTAAGAATAAAAGATAGTTAAGATTAACCATCTTTTAATTAACAATATGCATTTATAAGAAAAGTATTTAAATTAGTTCTGGAAAAAGGTAGTAAGTTTGAGGACATTTTTGTATTCTGTGTTTTAAATGTGTTACCCACTTTTCTTCATTAAATAATCAGCAATTTATTTCAGTAAAGTAACTTACACCAGATTTGCTATTGTCATTCTGATTACCACTCAACAAATACAAAATCAAGGGACTAAAAATTTTTTTCTTTATAAAACAAGTTAGAACATTATAAAGTATTTTCTTATGCCAAAAACATTTCAGGTAATTATTGCTTAAATATACAGTGATTAAATCTGTGAAATTTTCCAAATCACAATTGAGAAAATTTCTTTAGTATGCTAACATTTTTCCTAAGAGAGAGAAATACCTAAGGGATGTGTGAATATTGCCTACCCACTGTGGAAAAGAGCCCAATATCCCCCTGAATAATTTTTAGACTAATGTCACCATGGTGATTCAGGATTTAGAAACAAGGAAACGACATGATTACACACATGCTATACAAAGCCAGCCAGATGATTTATAATTTGCAGCCAGCACTTTACTCAGTCCTTAGAAAGCAGAATTTTAAGTAAATTTCCTTATTTTAAAAGAAAAAGTCTGAACAGATAAATTGCTATGCAGAAGTACAGTACAAAGGTATTTTTTTTTAAAACGCAATCTTCTATAAGAAGTAAACTGTAAAAGCCAATCTAACATCAACAGGGATTTCCTCTGAGACAGACTTTATCCATCAGTTGTTCTTTGTTCTTCAGTTACCTGAAATAATCAGAATTACTATACTGGTAACCTTCATAGTAAAATGTGATACTTTCATATTTAAAGTAGCTTGACTTTCTTACAACAACTACTTTAGGAGTGGCATTTCTAACAATTTTACCCAATGTATGCATCAGTCATATCTGGAAGCAGGCACAAGAATTCTAATAAAATCTGTGAAGATTAAGAGTACTATGCAAGTAATAATGCAGCATGATCTGTACCCTGGGGGGTGGGATGGGGAGATTAAAAAACCCTATGAACGAAAGGAACTACAGGTATTTATAGTTGACATAGAAAAAGAAAAGAGAATCTCATACTTTCATCAGACATTTTTAAAAAGAAAAATGTCTTGATTTTGTTTCCAACTTACAGTCATTCTTTACCTATATATATTGATTGGGGTGATGCAGAAAGCCACAAATGAGAAAAGGGCACTAAGGTTTTAATAAGGGGAACAAAGTGTTGTTTTCACCAGTATAGATTCACATTACAGTACACCAATATTGACAGCATTCTCTTGTCTATTTTTGGTACAGAAGATAGTATCTCTCTACATAACCTTGTAAGGCTTCAGTAACTAAAATGTAAAACAAACAAAACACCCCTCGAAAAAACAAAACAAAAACCCAGCCTATTAGTTTACATTTTATTTTAAAAATTCTGAAAGACACTGCAACTTCTAAACTTTTAGTAGTGCTACTCATATACAACCATCTGGTCAAGAACCCAGTAAAAGTGCCCCCTCGAGGAAGCTTTGCAACAGTAGAGTTGTGCAATATGGATGTTTCTGACTACAAGAAAAAATTATACATGGCACATTTTCATTCATATTTTGTAATGTAAAAAGTTACAAACATACCTAATCAAATAAATAATAATAAAAAAAGAATTTGAATGTATTTTGTTTAGTATCCTAAAACCACTACATAGAATAATGGCAACTTTCACTCACAGATTATTTACATGGTAATACCCAGTGTGGGTACACTGCTACAAAACTGAAAACAGAAGGAGTAAACTTGAAATGTTTTCCATAGTAAAGATCTAGCAGCATGACTATCTAATGCTGTTTTATCCCGACTGCTTCAGAAATGTTCCATTTTAGTCTGTGTCTTCATCCAGTTCATAATTGTCTTTATCATAAATATCTTTTACTAGAAGAACCCGTACAAGCATATTTTCCAAGGTGTTTCGGTCCAGTGAAGTAGATGTGTACCACACAGGGCTATCTGTAGAACTAGAGCATTCTGGTTGCAAATAAAAAACATCCATTCTCTGATTAAGATTCTGTGGACTTTGAGGGAAAGGAGAGAAGGTCAATTTCATGAAATACATTTAAAATCCCCCCACAACTCTATTTTCTTTCAAGAATATTTTTGAAGCTTTTTTGGGGGGGGTACCGGGAATTGAACTCAGGACGACCTTGTGCTTGCAAGGCAGGTGGGAGAACCACTGAGCTAAATCCCCGGCTCTTTCAAGAATAATTCAGGCCCAGTGATCACATTATGTGGCCAGATCCTTTGCCTCGTTGTTTACGTTAAATATTGTCATTAAAATATTCTGAAAATTATTTTTGTTATGAAAGAGTATTTCTCTATTGCAATTTAGACTCTATTTCGCTAAATGCAAGACCCTACTAACAGACATACCATTATTTTAATGGTGTCAATTATAATTTGAAGATGCATCAATTTAAACATGCATCCTCACTGTCAGGGTTAGTGAAATGTGAAAAATGACAATATATAAAATAAAAACCCTTACACCATTACACAATAGAAAAAATTTACAATATCCAAAACAGTTGAGATAGGAATTTCCATCTAACAAAGTTACTACTACTGGAAGACCCCAAGACTGTCACAGCCAAACACAGCTTCCTTAAATCATGATAAGAAATACTACCAACTTATTGGTGACATTTCCATTTTTAGGAGCTCTTAAAAATCATGCCCAGGGCGCCAGGGATTTAGCTCAGTGGCTCTGCTGTCTGCCTCGCAAGAGCAAGGTCCAGAGTTCGATCTCTGTTATCAAGAAAAAAAAATCATTCCCAGAACCTAACTGTGATTTTATACAGTTTTTCACAAAAGGAGTTGCAGTTTATCTTCATCTGAAAATCAGAGTGCTTACTTAAAACAATGGACAAAAATAAAATAGAGCATTTTAAATACATGCTGATTAGACTAGGAAAACAGCAGTGGCATAACTTAAAAGTATAGTACTTTCAGAACACTACTGTATTTTTTAGAACTCTGTAAAGAACTATTTTCTCTTAAATGTAATCATATCCTACACTATCTTTTCAACAGGAGGCGGCAGAGGAGAGCTAGCCACCAGTCTGTGTAAAGTTTTAGTGTAACACAGCCACATGCCACAAATGTGTACATAGCATTTGACTGTTTTCTAGCTCTAACAGCAGAATTGAGTAGGTTCAATAGGGATTCAAGAGCTCAAGCCTCAAATATTTATCTGACCCTTTACCGAAAAGTTTGTGCTCTTCCTTTGTATAATCACTGGAACAGCTATAATTTAAAAGATGATAGCAGCAATAACTTCTTCAGTAGAGAGTGATTTCTTAAAACATGAATTCTGCTGCTTCCCAAGCACAAGGACCCAAGTTCGATCCCCGGTACAAAAGAAAAAACACAACATGAATTCTGAAGTATGATGTATGAGCTGGGTATTTCATAATAATAGGACTAAAAAGTTAACTAAGTGGATTTGGAAATAAGCAAGGAGAGAGAGAAATCTAAAGAATCAGAGTGAAATGGTATTTATTGGTAGTGTTAAAGTCAACCAATTTACATGACCATTTGAAAAAGTAACTATCATTAATGCTTACCTTTTAGACAAGTAACACTCATACATTTTCACAGGGCATCTAGAAGGATTGGCTGTGTTTTCAACTTGTTCAAATACTGGCTCATCATCTTCATGTTTTCTTTTTCCAGCAGTAATTTTATCTTAGAAAATAAAAATTAAATAAACCTCCTAAAACCAACCTTGAAGAAAAATAGTACTCTTTACTTCTAGCATCTGTTTTAGCAAAATCAAACTACATGCCCTTCAACACTGTATGAATCCTCTGGCTTCTAGTAAAGCACAATTTTTCAAACAAAAGAAACAGACATTAGAAGATATAATTTTTCTTGTTTTATAAAAGTGATAATCCTTAGGTTCTTCACAAGTGACAAGGGGTGAGGTGGGGGGGGGGGGGAGCTTTGCTAAATCAAGGTTTGAACATCCCCACCACAGAAAAACCTCAAAATAAAAATCAGGTAGGGCTAGGGATTTAGCTCAGTGGCACCACACCTGCCTTGCACGCACAAGGTCCTGAGTTCGATCCCCAGTACCGGGGGTGGGGAATCAGGTACATTACCTTCGTTATCTGTTCCACATAAGGAAGATACTTGGTATCGAAGACAGGCTTTGTTTTCCATTGTTAAAGGATTTTTTTTCCAATGCCTAAACACAGTGCCAAAGGAAAGTCTTAAGTGTTGTTCCACTGTTTTTAGGCCAAAATACTTAGTGTTAAAGTAGAACAGGGTATTCAAAAGAGCTACTGGAGAGTGTGATCCTAGTTGTTTTATCCTCCAGAGATAATCTTCTTCAACTCGAGAGAATATTGACCCTTAAACAAAGAGAACTACTTTAAAATAATTATAAAAAAAGTTTTTACTTAACCACCTAGAAATAAAATTATTTTAAAACAAATATATGCCAGTCCTCTTTTCATCACCAGGTCAACTGGAATGAATGTTAGAATTACTTGTGTAGCTTTTAATAAAATAAAGGCTAAGAAACATATCAGACTATGGAACTATCATTTCTAGAATGAGGAACTGGTTGTGTGCTTCTGTCCTTCAGCAGGACAAGCAGATAATGGTCAGAAAAGAATTAAAACCTGTAGAATTCCTTAAAAAAAAAAAAAGTGATTTCCATACACACACACACACGCAAACAGAGTTTCTTCATACATCTGAACCAGTGGTTTAAGAGAGTTACATCATAATCTCTATTGTAGGACTTAAAGACATAAACATCCAGTTTTGTACTCCAGAGAAAGTTATACATCTTATGAAATTCATTATAAATACTTATTTATTGACCATATCCATTTCTAGTCCAACAAGAAGAAATGAACAGATGAGCTCCCAAGTTAGTACTCTAAAAAACTAATTTAAATTATTTTCTAATTCTTTTAAATACACTTTCTGGAAAAATAATCTCAACACAAAGTTAGCAACATTATTTAAAATAGCATTACCATCTGGAAGTATGCTTGGTTGCCAACTTCGGAGTATTTTATTCAATTCTTGCTCAAACATCTGGTATCCTGGATCAATAAATATGTTGTCCTTTCGATTACTACCACACAAATACTACAAGAAAAAGAAAGTCTTTAAGGAAAACCAGTTAATTACAAACAGTGAATAAATTACAATTCATATTTCTTAGAAAAAAAGCTTTATGTCTAAGAAAAGCTCAAGCACAGTAACAAAACGAGATTAATGGCTTCACATATACACCTAATGAATCACAAAGAATCATAAACTGTCAATTAATGTGTTGCTTAAACATTCAAAGCTAAACTGCACACCCCAGAATATAAAAACTGGATAAGAATCTTCAGCCTATCACATATGACTCTAGTGTTTATTAGTTCATAGAGAAAGATGCAGATTTTAAAGGTTTGCCATCACTGCTCTAAACCAAGACCAGCAAACAGATTCTTTGTGTTATATCCAGCCCACTACCTACTTCTGTAAATAAAGTTTCCTGGAAATACAGATGCTGGTTCATTTACAGAGTCCTGCTGTCTTTATGTCAACCCCTTACTATCTCTGATAAAGGCTGGTTTGTTGATAAAATGGTACACTTGAATGTTGGCTGCAGTCAGAACCATGGTCTGTAAAGCCTGAAACACTTACCATCAGGTCTTTTATAAAGTTTTTTCATCCCTGGTCTAGACATACTAATTAAAACAGATATTATTTCATTGGATTAAAAAAACAAGACCCAATGATAAACTGCACACAAAAATCCTTTCAAATAAAAAGATACATGAAGAATAAAAGGAAAAATATACCGTTTATACATGAACCTGAGACTACAAATGGCATCATTTGAGTTATCTAATGTTACCTCCATTAGTCAGAAGGCATAATGGCTGGCATTATTCCAAAAGAATAGAAAAACATAGCAACAAGTGCCTTTCAAATAGGATGACAGTTGACTGATAAAAGCCTGGGAATTAATGGAGTGACAATGCCAAATCCTTCCTTTGCTTCTGGTTGGTCAGCAGGAATTCTAAAAATATTATTTTCTAAACTATGTGTATCATTATTGCACTGACTGGTTAAAATATTATAATTCAATCTATTTAATGGGACTATACATTTTCGTAAAGTAAGGCTCCTAGATTTTTTAAGATGCAAACTTAGTTATACATTATATAAAACAATCTCAAAAGTAAAATCCCTAAGTTTAGAATAGCAAATTTGTATCTTTTGTTCTTACCATAAAACAACAAAAATAATAATGAGGGAGGCCGGGGATTTAGCTCAGTGGTGCCACCACCTGCCTCGCAAGTGCAAGGGCCTGAGTTCGATCCCCAGTACCAAAAAAAAAGTAGTAATAATGAGGGAAATGATCCTGAGATAATATTTTTATCTGTGAACCCAACAAGAAAGCAAAAATAATTCCAATGCACATTTAGAATCTTAGCAACAAGTCAAAAACTACTAAGCTCCCAACTCAGCTCTACTAAAAGTGATATGCCAACACTTGGTCCTTCTGAAAAGGTTTCTCTGGCTAATCCATGACAAATTAGTAATCTCCTGCTCATTTTTACAGAATATATTTTATTAGTCCTTGTTGTAGTCTCAGAAGCAATAACATTATTTTGCTGTAATTTTCCATTAAAGGCAGTCCCAACTTATAAACACCCTATCCCCCACCCAAGTCCCTTACATTGAATGGGAACCTACAGAAGCAAAGGAAGCCAAAGGAGCAGCTGGAAAGGACAGCAGCAGCTCATAGTTATAATAAACCCCAGAAAAAAATCTCTTGATAGGACTGTTTGAACAGCAGTTATTTTATTTTTGATTTTTTGAGACAGCATCTCACTGTGTAGTTCAGACTGGCCTTGAACTCATTTTGTAGCCCAGGCTGGCTAAGAACTTGTAGAAATCCTTAACAGCAATAATTTTAATAAAATATGTTCAGAGCTGGAGATACAGTTTAGTGGCAGAGCACTTGCCTCGCACACGCGAGGGACTAGGACTGATCCTTAGCTTAGCATCAAAAAAAAGAGGAAAACAAAAAACAGAATGTTTTCACTTATACAATTACTTTAACTAGTAAGTATTCCTTTTTGGTGTGTGGAGCTAGAAATTGAATCCAGGAGTCTGAGCACGTTAGTCTATCTGAACTATATCCCCAACACTTTTTGAGACAGGGACTCACTAACTGCCCAGGTTGTCCTCAAACTTGAGATCTTCCTCCTTCAGCCTCCCAAGTAGCTGGAATAACAAGCACTTGGCATGGTGCCCAGCTAGACAAGTGATTTTAAATATTCTAATGGTCATAAAAAAAAAAAAGAAACAGGAATATTGAGTATTTTACTTAACACAATATATCCAAAATGTTATTTCTTTTTTAAATTTTTTTTCAAAATGTTATTTCAACATTTTAAAAATATGAGTTCTGTGAAATCTTGTATGCTTTTTACAACTTTAAACACTTCTCATTTCAGACTAGTCATATTTCAAGGACCCTAATTCTTATGGATTAAAAATAGTTTGCCCCAGTACCAAAAAAAAAAAAAAATAGTTTGCAGGACAAAGTAGCAAACTGGTAAATAAAAACTTAAATAGAAATTATAATACTGGTATTTAAGAAGAATGAAAGTCTTACAAAACATATTTAATAGGCAGCTAGAAGACCATGGTTTTAGACAGTATGTTCAGACCATTAACATGTTTGTTCAGACATGTATTGTTACCAATACGACAGATATGTATTGTCAAAGAATGTTTGGGGAGCTAAAGGAGGAAACATAGTATTTAAATATATATTTAAAAAATTATAAAATTAAATGTTGGGAATATAAAATGTTCATAATCTGAGTATATCTAGAACATTTTATTCGTCTCTAAAATCAGTTGTCTTATTAAATGTTATCTGAATAAAGCTTTATTAAAAATGAAAATTCATTATTAATTTGGCTACAAATTAATAGTTCTACACAATCTACACAATCAATAATGTTCTAGCCTTTGGCTAGCTATATCCCAGAAAAGTATTGAGTGTGATCTTTAAAACTACCAAAAATCTGGACTGATGACATAGGTCAGTTGGTAAAATTCTTGCCTAGTATGCTCAAGGCTCTGGTCCATCTCTGGCACCAAACACACAAATATAGTAATATTGAAGGGGGATGGGAGCAAGCCTTTTTTTTTTCCCAGTACCGGGATTGAACTCTGGACCTTGCGCTTGCAAGGCAGGTGGCGGCACCACTGAGCTAAATCCCCAGCCCGACAAGCAAGACTTTTGTATGTTTAACTCTAGATAAAAGATGAAGATTAAATATTCATCAAGGAATGTTTCTGTTAAGGCTATCTATTGTATCCCCCATTACCACAAAACTCTCCACCCTCCAGCCAATGAGTTCTTTTTCCAAGCAGTTCCTTGGAAAACTGTTCCATTGTATAGATTCTTCTTTTATTGGGTGCCATTGTTCTTCCTTCAACTTTTATATCTAGTAAATTTCTACATGTTCTTCAAAACTCAATTATAAGCTAGGCATTATGGCACATGCCAGTAAACCCAGAACTCTGAGACTGAGGCAGGAAGCTCTTAAGCTCCAGAACAGCCTGGGCAATTCAGAGACTTAGGAAGATTCTGTCTCAAAAAGGCCTTAGGTAACTCAATGCAAAGCCCCTGGGTTGAATCCCTAGTGTGTGTGTGGGGGGGGACACAACACATTATGTGTTACATTTTTATATATTTTCATATCATATTATTTCAATTATACATTCTGGCAGAATTTACTTGTCTCAATTCTGTGCTACTAATATATCAAACTGCTATCAGATTCAAATTTATGAGATATAACTGGGGAAAGCCACTTTATTTCCTCATCAGAAAATGATAAAAGGTTATTAAGAGATTAAATGACATCTCCAACACTTAACACAGTGCATGGAAAGCAATAAGCAGTCAACAAACATAATAAGCTATTAACATGCTTATCTCAATTTCCAAAGCCCATTCCAACATCCAGTGTCCAGTAAATTGGTATTTAACTAATGTCTGAAGAATGAACCACTCAAAGAAGGATTAGCAAAACCACCTGATCCATTATTTTTTGCTTAAAAAAATAAGCAAAGTCTTAAGGTCCTGTGAATACACAAAGTTGAACTTAAGAAGTCATTAAAAAAAAGTCATATAAGTCAATTTGTTATGTATTTTTAAAACTTAGGAAGTGGAGTTTACATTTTTAAAAAAATCCTATTTATAAAAGACTTGACATGTAAAAAATAAAAATCTTGGGAAAAATGTGGGGAAATCACATAGGGTTCTAGAATACACAGGGAACTTCTCACAAAATCAACAGGATAAACAAATTATTAGATAAAGGAGTAATTCACAGAAAAGCAAATGCAAAGGAGCAATAAACAAAAGATCCTCAACTCTTACAAAAGCAACATTGTGGTATCTCTGAAAAATTTTTTTTTTCTCTGAAAATTTTTAAAAATACATTTTTCTTATGATTCAGTGATATGCTTTCTTTTTTAGGAATCATTTTTCAGAAATAAACGCACCAGTTCTTTAAGAAATAACTATTTACTCTTGTATACATTCACAAGATTTAGCCCTTATAACTAACAACATTAATCTTTCAACAGACCTATTAGGTCTGGAATGATAGTGTACACCTGTACTCCCAGCACTCTGGAGTCTGAAGCAAGAGGATTGCAAATTCAAGCCCAGCCTGGGAAACTTGGCAAGATCCGGTTTCAAAAATAATTTTAAAAGGGCTAGAATGTAGTTCAGTGCAAAGGCCCTGGGTTCAATTCCCAGTATGGCAAGAACAACAAAAACTTCCACTTTAAAATTATCTTATTTCTCTCATTAGATATAAACAAAATGACAGAAAAGATTTAACAGTTTATTCTGTATACATTCTTAAAGTAACACGAAACAGGACTTATTTCTGTAAAAAGAGTTTTCAATTAATTTTAACCCTTCAATGCATAGTATTCCATTTTTGGAACACCTACAGCAACAGAACACAGTAGAATTTTTTTCTTCAAATTCTTGTTCCTTGAATTTTTCTAAGTAACATACAAATTTCATGCAAAAATTCAAAAAAATTGCAATAAGTTAAAGCTGCTTGTAAACATCACTGGTGCAAATAAATCAAGTCTGCACAAATGTGTCAGAGAACAAATAGTGCAGTTTTTAAAAACTGTGGTCAACATATAAGTTTGTCATCTGAATTATTTTTAAGCATACAGTTCAGCAATAAATCAATTTTTTTGAGTAAACATTAGTACATTTTGAAACCTACTGAACTGAGCATAATGGCAGAGTAAGAAGGATGGCTAAGTCAACACCACCCTGGGCACCGGAGACAGAGAGAGGCCTTGTCTCAAAGTTTTAAAAGGGACAGGGATGATATTTCAATAAGCACTTGCCTAACATGCCTAAGGCCATACATTAGAACTTGGGGAAAAAACAACCCCACCAGAAGCACAAAACCCAAGCAACCAACCAACCCAAAAAATTTGCTAAAAAAAGAAATTCTGACATATGCTACAATATGGATGAACCTTGAGAACATCATGCTAAGTGAAATAAGTCAGACACAAAAGGAAAAATACAGGGGCCAGGGATTTAGCTCAGTGGCTTCGCTGCCTGCTGTGCAAGCGCAGGGACCTGAGTTCGATCCCTGACAGCAAAAAAAAAAAAAAGGAAAAATACTGTGTGATTTCACTTACATGAAGTGTCTACAGAGGTCCTATTTATAGAAACAGTAGAATAATGGTTGCAGGGGGCTCGTGGAAAAGGAAAGAAGTAATTGTTAATGGATAGACTTTAAGTTCTGCTAAAATAAGGGAGTTCTACAGATGGACGGTGGTGATGGCACAGCAATGTGAATATACTTAATGCCACTGAATTATACACTTAAAAATAGTAAAAATGATAAATTTCATTTTATATGTATTTTACCACAGTAACAAAAATTGTGAGTAAAGAACCTTTCAAAAGATACAAACAGGGCTGGGGATTTAGCTCAGTAGTTCCACCTCCTGCCTCACAAAAGCAAGGTCCCAAGTTCAATCCTTTGTACCCAAAATTAAATAAAAATAAAAGATACAAATAATCCATAATCATTTATTATAAAACTTAGTTCTCAAATCTCTACATAGAGTTCTAATAAAAAGCAATCCAGCCACGGATTTAGCTCAGTGGTTACGCCACCTGCCTCTCAAGCACAAGGGCCCGAGTTCAATCCCTGGTACCAAAAAAAAAAAAAAAGCAATCCAGACACTTAACTTCCTCTGACAGAGTTTTCCTTTATGTAAGTCAAGAAAACTACAACATACAAAAATTTGTGAAATTAAGTAAATTATTTTTAACAAAAAATTTATAACTTTAAAGGCTTTCCTAAGAAAAGAAAGTTCTAAAGTCAATGATCTAAGCTTCAATCGAAGAAACTAGGGGTGGGAGAGAGAAGCAAATTAAGAAAGGACATAACAAAGATCAAAGATCAAAAAAGAGAAACCAAATATAATGGATATACCTTTAGCTAAACAACATCCAAACAAACTGTAGTCCTAGCCCAAGTGGGCCTATCCCACCAACTACCTGTTTTTCGTTGCTACTGTTTAATAGCCATTGAGCTAAGATGTTTTGTTTACATTTATGATTGGTTTTACTTAAAGTAGTTATCTAAGCAGGTACACAAAATCCTAGAATTTTGCCTCTTGGTTTGCTAAAGCCTAAATTATTTATTATATTGCTCTTTAATTTATATCTTCTTTTTTTTTTTTTGGTACCTGAGATCAAACTCGGGACCCTGCTCTTGAGAGGCAGGTGGTGGCACCACTGAGCTAAATCTCTGGCCCTGCCCTTTAATTTATTATATTGTTCTCTAAGAAAAAGTTTGCTGAATCCTGAGCTGGACTGTTCAAAAAAGAGAAAGAATTTACTAACATCAGCCATGGAAGTATGATCACATCCTACAGTCATTAAAAAAAATAATAAGGGAAGGTTATCAACTTATGCTGAAAAATTTGACAAAACACAAATGTTTTGAAAGACAGAACTACCAAAATGACCCAAGAAACAAAAGAAAAACAAAAACAGGCCTAGATCAGCTGAAGTAATTGACTTGGTGATTTAAAATCACCCTCAGAACCCCCATCAATCAATCCCAGGCCCATATGGCTAGTGAAATTCATGAAACATTTAAGAGAAAATACCAATTCTCACAAATTCCTTCTCAAAATAGGAGGAGCATTTCCCAACTCATTTTATGAGGCCAGTTTTACCCCATAACCAAAACCAGATAAAGACAAGAAAATTATGGAATTATTATCCTTCATGATTATCTACAAAAGATTATCTACAATATGTTAGCAGATCAATCTGGCAATATGTAAAAAGAATATATCATCATCAAGTGAAGTTTATCCCATGAATTCAAGATTGATTTAATGTGATTTATGAAATAAAAAATAAAAATACTGTCTCCAAAGATAAAGAATAAAGAATAAGCAAAATTCAATAACCATTTATTATAAAAGTTCTCAGCAAAATAGTAAAAAAAAATTCTCAATTAACTAACAATAGAAAAGAACATCTTCAACCAGATAAGAGAAGCTACAAAAAACGAACAACAACAAAAAAATAACCCGATAGATGGTAATATACTCAACAGAGTATAATACACACTTAATGAAGATGGAAGACTTCCCTACCAAGACTAGAAACAAAGAACTGTTCTGGGGACATGGAAAACAGGGTATTTTAAATAATGTAACAAAGCAAGAAAAATAAAATGACATGGAGACTGGACAAAAGTAAAGCTGTTTTATTCACAGACAGTGAGATGTAAATAAAAAATTCTAAGAAAAAAAACCTATCAGAACTAAAAGCCAGTACAGAATAGAAGATGAATACATAAAAATCAAATGCATCTCTATACTATTTGGTAATATCAACGGAAATAGCTTAAGCAGCAAATTTTTTGGGGGGGGTACCGGGAATTGAACTCAAGACCCTGCGCTTGTGAGGCAGGCACACAGCGCCACTGAGGTAAATCCCCGGCCCAGCAATAAATATTTGACTAAAGGTTAAAACATGGGTGGGCCAGAGAAAAATTCCATTTTGTTGCTGTTCTTTAGTCTATTTAAAAAAATTGTATCATCTACATGCTAAGTTTTAAGATTCTTTCCAGCAGGCTTTTATGAATACAATTTTATACAGAATCCCAAAACACAGCAAAAAAGTAATATTGGGTTAAAACAACAAGAAGAGCCTAGAATTCACTCTCTCATTTTCTTGCTGATTAACTTGGCAGAACTGCAGTGCTCTCTACAATAATACTTTACTATTTGATCTGGTCAACAGAATTATCTAAGATTAAAATAAATGTTTTTCTTTTAAGAGAAGAGTAAGATCAAGCTCCTAAGTCGGCTCCTGAGGACATTTGTGTGTAATAAGTAACTTCTTCGGAAACCAGAGGGTTGAGATCAGTGCACCTCCACCTGGTGCAGTGTTTATAAAAGCCATTCCTACTTTTTACACCAGGTGTAACAAAAAAGGAAGGGAGGACACACATACACACACACACAGGTCCACAATCCCTAGGCCAGAACCACTGGGTCAATGTTTTGGAAGTCATGTTTTTGGATTTTTACAGAGGAAATAGAGGGGATGTACATAATTACATAATGCTTGTATATAACAGTCTGGATTGGCACCCTTCCCTTATTGAGAAATATCAACAATTTTATAGTGAATATTCTGTGGATGAATATTAACACTTAAGCGTAATAAATGAAGACTACAACAGCTTCATGACTCAAGATAGGTTTTACTGCCAAATGTATTTTAATAATAAAGTAATGGGGCTGGGGATTTAGCTCAGTGGCACCACACCTGCCTGGCAAGCTCAAGATCCCGAGTTCGATTCCCAGTACCCCCCCATAATAATAATAATAAAGTAATGGGTAAAATCTGATTTTTTTCAAAGATTTAGGGGTTTTAGAATGGTGTTAACTATACCACTGAAGCAAGAGGCTCCATGTGTACATAAAACTAGCAAAGGAGAATAAAATCTGTATTTCTTTGTGATAGCCCTTGAATACAATGTAATTTATAGCCATAGACTCCAACTCCAATAACATTTACAATATCTTAGGCAAATTTATCAATACTAAATATGGATGAAGTTTACCTAAAACCCCTAAGAATGATCTTTTTTTATGACATGATCCCTCAAAGTTACTAAGTAGTTATATAAGAAACACATCAGATGTCCACAGTAAAACAGACCTTCTATATACAAAGGTAAGACATTTTTCTGTGCAAATGCAGGTCAGTATAGGCCTACAGCCCAATTTGGCTACACAATATACTCCATAATGTGAATTCATTTATCTGCAACACGTAAGGAAGAAATAATGTCATCTCGATTATCATCTATATATGGTGGCAAAAATACAACTGTGTTAGACTGGTTACAAAAGATACATGGGTTCTGAGTTGCCTGTCCATACCCTATTTTCCCACAATTTTTTTGGTTTTAATGCACTGTTTGAAGAACCTGAGACTTTAAGAATACATGTACTGTGTTACAAGTAGAAACACAAAGTAGCTAGGACAATCCTGTATATTATCATGGTACTTCTAAATAGATCAAGTTTTTGTCTTTCTTGGTAAGCCAGTAAGTGGATGAACATTTTTCTTTCCAAGAACTACAATAACTTTTAATCACATTTTATTTGAAAGCAATCAATGAATTACTAACCTCCTGTATTCCAAGGCAAAGATAATAGATGCTATCAGGTGCATAATTCTCTCCATTTGGCCGTCGGATCTCATTGACAAAATGGGCTAACCCATAATTAAGTTCTGATGTGGTGTGAGACAGTAGATCTTCTTTTAATTTTACTGATTTAGCTAAAGAAGATATAAAATAAAAATCAGCAAGTGCTATTAAACTTATGTCTTACTTAAGGTTAAGAAATTTTCTGAAACTGATTATTCTAAGAATTTTGGGTTTTTAATTTTATTAGTGCATGCATTTTACCATCATCTTGGGGAGTTGGTTTAAGAATTGTGAATTAAAATAAAATGCAGTTAGAACTGTTTCAAGCTACACTCAGGTTTTTGTAATTAAAAGGTAGTAATGGGTAACAGAAATCTTCATTTTTGATGGGACTTAGGAAAAACAAAATCAAAACACTTACGAGATTTTAGTTCATCTAATACCAGGAGATCTTCATCAAGTTGCCTAGTTTTGACCCAGTGTTTCCATGCATTTACACCATATGTATATTTGAAAGGAAAGCTGCATTCTGAGTTGTCAGAACTATCATCGTGAGACTGGTATCCTGATATAGCTTTTCTCTTGGCTCCCTATTAGTGAAACATCATTGTAAATTCTTTTTTTTTTAAACCTACAATATTTCATGACTTTATGTAAGCCATCTTTCAACAAAGGCAAATTAGAAAGAAATATATTTATTTGATTTAGAATTGGTTGGTATTTCTGAATTTGACAATAGTTAATTACCAATAACATTTCTTGAAATGCAACTATATTTTGTACAAATCACTTTGTTCAATGAAATCAAAGTAAATTTACTGTTGGGAAAATAGATGAGACAATAAACTAATCATCTATAATAAAAGAATTCTAAATAATAGTGTAAGAAAGAAACTAAAGACCTTTTCAATAAGAAAGGATCATTAAAGATTCCTTTTCACTTTTCTTTTTTAAACGGGGTTGGAGATCAAAACCCCGGGCCTCGTACATGCTAGGCAAATGTTCTACCACTGGGCTACATCCCCAACTCCCCCTTTTATTTTTTTGATGGTACTGTTTGCAGTGCCATCAATTTATCAGTCCAATTTATCATTCCTTCCTTCCTTCCTTCTTTTTTTGGGCCATTTTTCTCTTAAGGCTTTTGGTGTTTTGTCAAAAGACTATGCCTACCAAAAATCGTGAAGACTTAGGCCTGCGTTTTTGTAAGATATTTACATTTTTACTTTTACATTTGAGTCTATGACCCATTTCAAGTTATTATATGCAGTATCGAATAAGAGTTCACCTTCCTATTACAAATACTTTTTTTGGTTTGTTTTTTTTTCTTCTGGGGGAAATTATGAAAGGTGTGTCTCTCTTACGGTGTCTTTTAATTCTGACCTATGTTCAAAATCAGAAACAAAATTGCTGATAGAATAGTAAAATAAAATAGCTTGCTAGAAAATAGTCTTCCATCCTTTATCAAAGAGTTAAGTTTACTTTATTTAGCAATTGATTTCTATTTTAGCTTATCAACAACATAAATTTTAAAAAGAAAACTTAAGAGGCAATAATATTTATCCTCTAGGATGTAACAACTACATCTGAGTCATTTTTATTACTTGGAAATAAATTCCTTTGTCCTTTTAAACTAGAAAACACTAACTTTCCACAATCTCAGGCACACCAAATAACCACTGTATTCTCTGTGCCTATAGAGAGACTGCTATACACAGGTATTAAGTGAATCCAAGAATACCATTAAATTCTGTACCTTTTTTTTAGATCGAGGTCTGGGTTGTTCTTCATATTCTTCTCCAAAAACAGGTGGTAATAAAAATTCATTTTCCATATCAAGCTCTTCAGCAGCTAACAAATCAGAAAAACTCTTATTTTAAATGTAATAGCACAGGTTTACATTACACAAGGAAGCCAAAGAACTAACCACAGAATATAAACAAGCATTTGTATAAGGATAACCTAAGCCAGGCTGGGAAGTGCATCACATGCTTTAGCTGAAATGGCCTGTGAGTTCTCATAAGCCCTGTCCTGACTCCAAAAAATACCATCAACAAATATCAAAATGGAATTTTCATGGAAGTGTGCTATCAGAAAAATTGTTACAACCTGAAACTCAATTATAAGATCTTAAAGGTCACTGTGAAAATCTGTTTCAATCTTTTTCCCAACACATTTTTTTTTTTGGTAATGGGGATTGAACTCGGGTCCTTGCACTTGCAAGGCAGGCAGCAGCACCACTGAGCTAAATCCCCAGCCCCTGCAAATACATTTTACATTCTACTCAAGTGCTCAATAGCCACTCGCAGGGTAAAAAATTATTTAAAAAGGTAACATTTTTTATGGACGATGTGAAAATACTTTTCCCCTTGAAAGTAAACTTAATTTTCAAAAATGCCCTAAGAAAAAATGCTATTAATACTTTAAATTTTATTTATTTATTGGGGGGAGGGTTACCGGGGATTGAACTCAGGCCCTTGCGCTTGCAGGGCAGGCGGCGGAACCACTGAGCTAAATCCCCGGCCCAATACTTTAAAATTAAAAAAAACCAAACTTTTTTTTTCTATTTTCAACTTTCCATAATGAATCACTTTCAGAAAGTTCTTTTTTTAAAAAACTCAAAGTAGCTCAATTATAGAGTACATTCCAGCACTGTAGAAAAAAAAAGAAAATGAAATAATTATGAACCCTACAGGCAAGTTAAGAATATTAAATAGTTAATGATCATAAGTACAATTATGATTCCATAATGTAATTCGATAATCATAAAGTCATATTTTGAGTACCTCTGGGAAAATCTATTTCAATATCCAAATCTGGTTCATACTGTACATCTGGCATGCTCGACTGGGTCTCTGGGTCAGTGTTTTTCATGAGATCTGAGCCAATTATGTCAGTTTCAATAATTACACCTGTAATCAATCCATAATTTCATTAGGAGGCAAAATAGAAAACCCCAACAAGATCTGCATTTAATCTGCCAAGTTAAGTCATTTAATTGAAAATGGAGTAAAAATAAATACTTATAATAATGTCATAATGGGAAAAGGCATACAGCTATCTTCAACGTACGTTACATGAACTTCATAATTAAGTACATTAAAACTTTTAATCCTATAAATTTTCACTGTCTTCAAAAGTTAATATGCTTTGATAGTGAAATAATTTCAATATGTACAGTATTTCTAAAAGCAATCTCTTGTCAGAAATAAACTGAGGGTAAATAATTGCAATTATCAAACATTCTCCTTGAATTTTTTTCAGGGGCTGGGTATCGGGGATCAAACTAAGGACCTTGTGCTTGCCAGAAGGGCGCAGCACTGCTGAGCTACAACACCAACCCTTCTCCTTGAATGCTGACCTAGAAGTTTCCCACATCATTCAATATATGCTTTTTTTCAAATAGCTTCTAGTGTCTCAATCAGTTGTTTAACTTTTTTGTTGTTGTTGAAACCACAAATCAATACCTACACTACAGGATGTGAGAGACGGAAAGATAAAGAGACAAATACACACAAACTGAAAACAAAGGTTTCACAAAACACCCTTTCTAAGAAGGATTTGCACTGACATTTCCCCCATCCATGTAATTAAAAAGTCACATGCCACTAAATTAATTGCATAACTCCTTAACACAGTGCTTCAGAAACACTACTACAATTATGAAATACTACAACTGAAAAACTACATGTTTTCAATGTCCTAGAGCACTGGTGGTGAACCTATGGCAAGTGTGCTGCAACAGGCTATTTATATCATTGAAAGCTCAAAAAGGATCACCATCACTGACCGGGCAAAAGAAGTTAAGCAGTTCATAGCTGAAACATTTTGGGTATCATCAGAGAGCTAAGAGTAGGAATAAATATTCTAAGAGACTTAGAATCATCCAAAACATATTCATGTAGAATCATCCATACCATGTAGCGAGTCACGTCCTAATAGGGGTTAGGATAAATTCTGGCTTAGATAATCCAAATTATTTTACTAATATAAGGAGTAAAACGAATTGGGTACAACTATTACAAAACAAAGATTTTGGATCATTCTAAAGTCTACTATAAATTAGTTTTGTGTCTGTGCTACTTTATTTTCAAGAAAAATTTTGAGGGCCAGGGATTTAGCTCAGTGGTACGGTGCTTGCCTCACAAGTACAAGGTCCTGAGTTCAATCCTTGGTACCAAAAGAAATTTTTTTGAGTTGATTTTACAAGTTAACCAAAGGGAGCATAGGCTGGGCTGGTAGTACCCAGTTAATAGTCCCAGATACTCAAGAGGCCAAGGAAAGAGGATCTGAGTCTAGGAGTTGGGAGACTAGCCTAGGGACAAAGCAAGATCCCACTTCAAACACACAAACAGATGCAGCATACAATTTCTTAGAGATCAGACCTGACATAAGAGGGCACTGGCAAGACGTAGAAGGGAGGAGCTCTTAATATAGTATACATTTCTGTTATGCTTCCCTTCACTGCCATATCAAGTTCAAGTACAATGATATGCCTTGAGAAGTACTGTAATAATATTTGTTAAAACATACATGTACACAACCAATGATAAACTTATTGACAAAGTCTAATACAGTGTAGCTCACTATTGATGTTAGATGCCTCTGTTTTCCCCTCATCTTCAACCATCATATCTGTCATTGAAAGCAACTCTGTATCAAGAGGATCTGAAGAAACTTTGCTTTTTAAATCTTCAATCACCGCAGGAATTTTCTCACTGCTTTCCAATGGAGCAGGCAGAAAAACAGGAACAGGTACCTAAATTAACCAAAGCATCGAGGGGTAGGTTTACAAATCATTAAAAAATATGTTTCCATATTTAAAATCACTTTGGCTGGACGTGGTGGCACATGCCGGTAATGCCAGCACTAAGGAGGCCAAGGCAGGAGGATCACTGCGAGTTCGAGGCCAGCCTGGGCTACAACACAGTGACTACATAGCAAGACCTTGTCTCAGCCCCCACCCCCAATCATTCTGATACATGACTTACTTTACAATGTTATATTGAGAAAAAGCTTTGTACACAACAAACCAAACTAAGATGGCTACTGTGACAAGAAAAACCCAAAATATAAACAGCTATTATTTGAAATACAAATTAAAGGAATATAATTTTTGAGGTATTTCCATCCATCCCCTAAAGGACAACAGTAGCCAAACTCAGATACAGTGATTTAAGTATAACAAGAAATTTGAGATGAAATGTAATAATGTAATGTCATTTTAAATCAAACTATTCTATTTCAACTCCAAATCTGTCTTCACAAACGTGTTTTTCAAAAATAAAACACAATGCACAGAGCACACTGAGACATCTGCTACACTTCATTCCCAATAGATGAACACACACCCAATTAAATACAAAGCATGATCACAACAACAGGGATTCAACCAAATTTAATTGTGGACAAGATAGTCTTACCAGTTTCAGTGAGCTAGTTATAGAAACTACATTGTTTTCACACCTGTGCCTGATAAATCTCAAAATGAAAAAAGAAATTAAAAGCCTGACTTACTGGAACAGGAACAGTAGTAGGAACAGGAATATTCTGACTGTACATGTGCATTGGTACTGGGATATACACTGGCACAGGAATAGGCACTGGAACATATTCTGTCTTCCAATTATCATCTATAAACACGACACATGGTAAGAAACAATGTTAACTAGCACTTACATATAGCTGCTCAATTTTGAAATAATTTGATAAAGAAGCATTTAACTACCTCAGTACCCATTTAAAAGAAAATTCCTAGTTTGTTAACATTAGATAACTTCAAAACAACAAAACAAAGTACCAGCTGTTCTAACTTAGCACAAACAGAATTTAGGCTTTTTATAAAATTAAGAAATTTCCTTTAAAATACAATGTAGTTCCAGACACCCTACCAGACTGCCCTTACTCCCCCTCAAGGTTTTTAAATCAACTGAACTAGAGCTAACATTGTCAATATGACAGAAATACATATTTGGGTTACTTCACTTCCGTCTGACAGGAAAGAAACAGATTATCATTGTAGACCATAAAGAGACAATTTTCTCAGAGGAACACCATAAACACCGGGTCTCAGAAAAACTGATCACAAATGATTTTAGATGATATACTGTATACTCAAGGTAACAACCAAATCAGGTAAGCAAAAATTAAAAGAAAACAACAAACTAACCTAACAAATCTATTCTGTACTTTATTACTCAAGAAAAGCATTCAGTGATAAGCATAGTGAAAACCAAAATTTCCTAAGTTACCTGTCTGACAAGATTTGGTCTGCATGTGAGGTTTACAGTAGGTAGCTTTTGTCATTGTTAGAGGTTTGCAAAGAACTGCTTTGTTCTTCATCTCTTTGTTGGGTGTTGGAGAAGGGGGTGGTGCTGAACCCTGTAAGAAAGAAAGAGAAACATTTCACTCTTGCCTGCAGTTTTCATTACTTTCTAGCATTAATGAGCACCTGTTTTCTAAGATCTATGGAAGGAACATACAAAAGTGAAAGAGTAAAACAAACTATGTTGTTATTAGCTTCAGTACAGTGTTAATCTGGGACAAACAATGGGAATATGCTAATCACTGACAAAGTAGTAAAATGAATTTATTCTATAGTTGTTGTTGCCTTCAAGAGAGTTAGCATCGGTACATTATTTTTAAAAAAATAAAAAGACAATTGTCTTTTAAGTACAAAATCAAGGCTATAAACTGAAACTTGGCTTTTAAATTTATTTAAAGAAAAGTTATTGCAGTTATTATACCTTATATTCTAGCTCCCTCTACTGGATAAGCATCTTAAAATACGAAACTAAATTTGAAAGGATAAACAATTAAAAGAATTATCAAAGATATTACCAGCCAAGATACCCCAGCAACTGCCATTTTAGAAACCTACATCAATTAAAATATAGCTAACATTGTCAATATGACACAAATACATATTTGATTTCACAGATAATCTAATCTCTATTTTACACTAGGTTCACTATTGTGTTAAATGCACTGCAGACAAATCAAATCTTCAAATAAATAAAATCTGAAGTGAGATAAAGATCTGACCATAAAAGGCTAAAAGTAAAGTACTCTCGATATCACCTACTGATAAGAGAAAACCACTACCAAACCAGTGCTGTAAGGAGGAATGCAGTTAAAAATTTGTATTAACTGCTCAATACATAAACTTATTTAAAGACAGTTTAATATTCCTTAAAACTGTATGGAGTATTTCTTTATAATAGGACAGTATTTCAATTTCACAGCATCTTTGTTTCACGCACTCTGCTGAGACTATCAACTCTTAATTGTAACACATATAGTCCAGACACAATATTCCCATACTGTACAGCACCATGGCACATACACACTATAATCATATACAGTAAACAATATTGGAAACATACTGTACATTGTATAATAATGCGAAGTAAACACAATATTGTATTATTGTATAGTAATGAAAATAAAGTTCTAGAAAAATATATTAGGCAAAAATTAAGCATTTAAAGTTTTGTAACGACACTAAAATGTTACTGTGGGTGAAGCTCCAAGATCTATGATGAGACAATGCCATGGCATGACCCATTAAAACTAAAGAAGTGAAACTAGGTTTTGTGGCTTGTTGGTAGCGTTTTCTCTAACACCTGGCTCCAAAATGTGTCAGCTTTGCCTCAAATCTTTTAAACATTTTTATATAAGGGATATACACTGGGATGCCTAAATCTGAGGCTGTGCTGAAGCACAGGGTCACATTTTTCAATGTTGTTAACAATTTTTCCCCGAAACAGAATTCTAGCTCAAGAATATCTTCATAAAAGGTCTAAAAGAGCAGGGGAATTGGGAGGGGTAGGGGAAGGGAAAAAAGGGAAAGGAAAAAATATGAGAAGAGGAAATAAAATGGAAACAAGGTCTTTGCAAATAGGGAAGGGTGGAGGGGGTGAAGGGAGAGCAAGGGAAGGGAAAAAAAAAAAGAACGAAGAGACTCATGTATTGGTACAAGATCTCAATGATGTATGTATATGTATTTTATACCAAAAATGTACCAATAAACTTAATGGGGAAAAATTTAAAAAAAAATACATAAAAATAAAGTTCTCTAAAAAAAAAAGAATATCTTCATGCTGCCAAAGCCTTCACTCATTCACTGTGCAATGTGCATTGTTTTTAAAACTGTTCTTTACATTTTCTGTAGTATCTTTAAAGCCTTTGAAAATTTTCAGTCTGCATAAACATTTCACCAACAATTAATTAATAGCAAACTGCCTGATGATGTCTCAGGCTGTCTCAATATCATCGATAAGTTGTGTAGAGTAAGTGACATCCAGTTGACCATCAGGTTATTTCCTTGTTAGCATCATGTGTGTACCTTGATTAAGGGGTTAGATGAGACACATTGTATTTGAGGGCATGAAAAGAACTACAGGGATGGACATTTTTGAGCTCCTCAGAGCAATAACAAAGCTTTGAAGGCAAAGTTTTCAGTGTTCACATTCTAAAATAAAATGGCTATGGAACTTATTTGAGACACTATCAATGCTTTTTCATCCCACCTCCAACAAAATGACATACAGCTCAGGTTTTTCTCTTTAAGTATCCATGCATAATGAGCTCTGTAAATCATTAGGGGTTAGCATATAAAGCTGTTCTTGGGATGAGTATATAATGCAAAGGCTGCAAAAACTATGATTTAAAACTAGGGGATTTGGGCCAGGGATTTAGCTCAGTGGTTCCACAGCCTGCCCCACAGGCCAAGTAGGCGCAAAGTCAAGTTCCATCCCTGGTAATAAATAAATAAACAAACAAACTAGGGTATTTGAGAACTATCTGCAGGTTTGTTTGCCAACAACCTTGTAAAATAAGCATGTGTCATTAACATTGAAAACCAGTTCTTCCAATACCCTTTTCTTGTACAACATTTGTATTTCCTTAGAGTCCTAATCTGAACAACCTACCTCCTTACCTCCACTTAACTTTTTTTGTTTGTTTCGTTTGGTTTTTTGAGACAGGGTTTGGCTGTGTAGTTTAGACTGCCCTTAAACTCACTGTGTAGCCCAGGCTGGCCTTGAACTTGCAGCAATCCTCCCGTGAGTAATTCTGAAAGCCTGAGTTATCGCCTTTTTTTCTTTTTTTCCTGTTGCAGTAGCTACCTTTGATCTGTATGAAGAGCTTTTCTGCCGCCCAAGTACCTTTCCTGGTCTGTGTTATACCTTTGTTGACATGGACTGGCCCTGAGCACAACTTTCCGTGATCTTCAATAAATGCAGCTGCTTACTACTTACTACTGGGTATATGTCCTTGACAATTCTTTCCTCATTATACACAAGAGCCTGGACTACTACTGACCCATTCAACTGTAACAAAAGTGCCATAAATATTGATTTAGTATTACAAATATATTTAGGTTAAGTAGATAAATTCACAAATACAGAATTCATGTATAATAAAGATTGACTGTACTTTAAATTTGTTAATTTTTTTCTTTTCCTTTTTGGTAGTCCTAGAGGCTTAAACCCAAGCCTAGTACATGCTAGGCAAGCACACTATGACTGAGTTAGAGTTATAATCACAGTCTCTTCTGTGTTTTTCCTGAAGGTCTGGAATGGCACTATAAAAGTCCTGTATTTAGCTAACAGCTCACTAGTTACAAATAACATATACAGCCGAGGAGGTTAGCACTAGGACGAGCTTCTACTCTGTTATCCTAGACTCAGTAACAGGAAAGTCCAGAATTATAAATATCCTGAGATTGCTCAGTGTTGTAACCCTTGCCATTCTGAAAATATTACCTCACATCTACTAATTATGCCACTTGTTGGAAACCTATACTTGACTCTAATCTTTCAGTTTCAGAATGTTTTTACTTTTCTTCTACTTAACAGGTAGGATCTATAGCTATTTATACTGATATTGAAGAAGAATCCACACTAATGAAAATTACAATGACAAAAGTTACCATGTGTTAATACTTGCTATTTGCCAGGAACTATGTAAAGCACCAAATCTTATTCCATCCTCCTAACATTATAAGAGGTAGGTCTTTTTACCTCCTCCCATTTACAGAGGAAGAAGCTGAGACTACAAAGTTCTATAATCTGGTAAAGATCACATATCTTAGAATTATGAAGTCAGAATTCAAACAGATTTGTCTGATGCCAAAGTCTATGTTATAAACTACCATACAGAGTGCCTCTACGTTATGTGTTAGTACTTACTATGGTGACAAACCTGAGATAAGTATTTTCCTGATTTTACAAAGAAAACTCACAAAATAATGAAATATCTTGCTCAAAATTATCCAGCTAAGCTCTCATCTTCTAAAGTTTATAGATTGAGAGTTAAGAGATTCCAAAAACTTACAAAGAAAAGATGGAAGAGGGCTTTGTAGGACAAAAGCAATAGTAATAATGCATCCTGACATTCCTTGCCAAGTAATAATGCTACTTCATCACTGTCAGTTACATAATATGGTTGAAATGCTATGGAAAGACAGTAATATGGTACTGAGAGAAGTTTCTTGAAACCTTGGTCAAAGCCATATACCTTTGTTTTATTTTTTCTCTTCTCCTTTAAATTGTGGGTGTCAGTTATCTTTTCCCAGAGACCAGGATAAAAGGAGAATGCAAACTCCTTGAGAACAAACCTTTATGTATCTTTTTGTTGTTGTTATTTTGTTTGTTTTTTGAGACAGGGTCTCACTATGTGATTCAGGCTGGCCTTGAACTCACTATGTAGCCCAGGCTGGCTTCAAACTCAGAGATCCTCCTGCCTCTGCCTCCCGAGTGCTGGGATTACAGGCGTGCGCCACCACACCCGGCTTACCTTTGTGTTTCTTGCCCACTGCTGAGTCCCAGAGTCTGTTGAACAAATGAAATATCAAGCACAAAATGGGCTGAAATAAAAGAAATTTACCTTTCCAGCTTCCCCTCTGCCTCCTCAGTAGACAGCTGCCCATACCCACTTATACACACATTTTACTCACTTGATAAATTAGCATGTTGCTGTGTTTCTTAGACCTCCTTGGATGGAAGAATGTTGTTCTAGCATTCATTCCCAGTGAATGATATAAATGACTGAAAAGCACACCAATGAGATAGTTTCTAGCCAGGAGTGGTAATGAACAACTGTAATACAGCACCTGGAATGTTACCAGGTTTGGGGGTGCTGGAGTCTCCTTCTGGAGGTGGTTTTTAGGTTCTTTCTGTCCTAAGCAAAGAACTGGTCAAGACAAGTGCAAAAGGTAGCAAGGTTTCACGTTTATTAAAGGTAGGAAAAAGACATGCTCTGCAGAGCAAGTCTGAGCCAAGTAGCAGTAGGAGAAGTGCATTCTCCAGGATAAGAGCAGATAGATCACTGTGTAGACAGAACACAGTGGCCAAAGCCATAGACCTTTGTAACAAGGCTGGGAAGTTGCCTTACTGTGCTCCTTTATTGGCTGGACAAAGGTAACAAAATAGGGAACAACCATCTTTATATTCTTCAGTGTGGATGAAAGTGTCTGGTATTAAAATCTGGTAATTCAACAGAATATGTTGCTACTTTGAAACTAAAAATTTTATTTCCACAAGGGAGAACAAATATGGGAAAGGGAAAAAGAACTCTTTTCTAGGATTATGTCCAATTATTAACATCAAAAACAAGCACTGAACAGAATAAATGTATAACACGATTTTTCACCCAGTCTTCTGTTAGTATCCTTGAGGACTGATTTTGAGGTGCCCAAGATACCAAAATATGCACATGCTCAAATCTCTTACATAAAATGGTATGGTATTTATGGAGAACTAGAACACATCCTCCCTTATATTTTACCTCATCTCTAGATGACTTATAATACTTACTACAGTATAACTGCTATGTAAATAGTCTGTTATACTTTCTTTCAGGGAATAATAACAAGCAAAAAGAAGCCAAAAGATTTCTATATATGTTCAATGTAACATGTTCACAACGATCATAGGTCTAACTGCATGATACAAAATACCAAGCCAAAAAACCCCAAAAAACCCCAAATACCAGGCAAACAATGCAGGAGTGCTGGGGAGACTAAGGATATGTGAAATAACAGGAAGTTAAGGCATGGAACAACATTAGTTCATGCATGTTTGAGTGTGACAATTTCAGGTTTGTTTTTCAGAACTTTCTGGAAAATTCTTTTCCAGTATTTTCAATCCTAGTTTGGTTGAATCTTCAAATGGGGAACTCAAAGATACAGAGGGTCAACTTATATCAGTGACCCACATCTTAGGTTACTTATTAATATTAAATGAAGAACTTTTCTAAAATAAGAATTTCTGGGTTGGAGCCAAATCACTGGAAGATTCTGAAAACTTGTCAGCTGATTGTTGCTGAAGCTAGGAGCTAAGAACTATCTATTGTTTCTTACCACAAGAAGAACTGACCCAGAGACTTAGTGTGATGCTAATAAATGACCCTGAAGCGTTTCCTTCAGTTAAGCACGCTAGAAATCCCAGTGAAAAATACCATCCGGCAATTCCGATACAGACAGCATACAGAAGGCAGGCAGGACTTCACTGATCTTTCAAGGTGTGATAAATGCACTGCTTCCATCTTTAGTAGTCATTACAAATAAATGGCCACTTCCAACCTACAAAGTCTTAAAATGCTAACATAAAAGCACAATTTGAAGCATTACACCAAAAGAAAAAAAGATAGGAAAAAGGATACACTGTGTATTACTCAAATTGAAAACCTCATAGATCCTTGGAACCAAAATAGATCTTCAGATCTCTATTTGAGAAATAATGGGGCCAGTCTTTCAGCCTCATTTACATTATTCCAGCAAAGATCTCCTTCAAGCATGACCCTAATGTGTAACTCTGCCAAATATGCTGTGCTTTACACATTACTAGCCTACTTCTCAGGCTTATCTTCCTGGCAATCTACTCAACTGTTTACAATTAGTTACATTCTTTAGGAACAGATAGTCAACATATTATTGCTACTGTCTTAAAGATGTATCTATTATAGAAACTTCAAATACCATTTCTCTGCAATGTGAGAAGGATAATTAATCCACTTTATATATCTTAGCACGTCTCTCTAGTATTAATAATCCAGCTGAATGCTTAAACTGTCACAAAAAAAGTAAAAATTTTTTTTATTATTATTATCAGACTAAACTGGCCTAATTATTCTTACCCCCAAAGTATAAAATCACAACTTAGCAATTTACTTAATACTTACTGTCATTTTGGTTCGGGACGTCTGACAGCCCTGATCTAAAAAAACAAATTTAAAGACAAATATCATTTTCTTCAGAATTTTCTAAATCCTTACTTCTCATCAAATTTGACTGATTTTTAATGACGTCATTGAAGAAAATATTTTATACTATTTTAGAATACAAAGAATCACAAATTTGAATAGAAAGTATAAAAACAGAGTATTAACTCTTTTCTCATTTTTCCCCTCCAGACAAACATTGCTTTGGGGAAATACTATGTTCTTGGATTTATCTCTTAAAACAAAAAGTCACAGCTTCTAAAGACTTCATTATTCAAACAAGCCAACCCCAAGAATTTTTAATTTGCTAAATATGGTTTTCATTCAAAATTACACGTTACATAGTAAGTAGATGATTACTTTTTAAATTTTTTGTTGTAATACTCTTTAGCTTCTCTCTAGCCCAAATGTACCCTGTTTTTTTGATTAGCATTAAATTTTTTAAAGGAATAAAATAAAATACAATGCATCTACAGAAACATCATATGGAAAACTTTGACACAGAAAAACTATGGAATTTAAGTTGGTATTAAACTATCTTCAAAACTAACTATGCATTATCAGTTCTTTGGATTCAAAGCTAAGAAAGTAAAGATTGATAAATAGCATTTTCAAGTTGCCACCTAAATCATTACATACCATAATGTAAGTTTTCGGGTCCTTTTTGAGTTGTCATGTTGGGCTCATTCTGCTGACAGTAGAAACGTAACAAGCAGTGTTGATCACAGAAATGTTTCATCTCCCCACGCCACTGTACTCGCTCTTTAAGAGTGCCTTGTGACTTACAACAATCACATCTTGCAGCCTTAACAAAAAAGGGAAGGTTTTCAGGCATTTAAAATCAAATTTAAAATATCACACATGTACAAGTGTTTTTAAAGATTTCTAAAAGTTTAGTAGTGATAATGGAAAAATGTGATAAGATAATGCTAATAAAATAATGAGTCATACAGAAATAGTAAAATTAGTAACAAAGAAGAATAAATCAGAACAATTTTTCTGACAAAGTATATTTGCCAGAAGTCAAAAGCTAGTGTTATAAAGGTAGGATAATGAAATGAACACTGGTAAACCACACTGATAGAACTGACATCATTTCTAAGTAATTTTGAGGGCCCTAACAACACACTGACAGAAGTCTCCTACACCATTGCCCTAAAATTTTCTGACTACTGAACACATTTCCTAGTTTACTGGACAAGACCAGAGTAACTTTAGCCCTTTTTTTTTTTTTTTGGTACCAGGGATCGAACTCGGGTACCTGCAATTGCGCAGGAGGCGGCAAAACCACTGAACTAAATCCCCGGCCCCAAGACCAGAGTAATTTTAAAGCAACCTCTTATGGGAAATTTAGAAGTGTTATCTTGAAGTATTCTAGTTTTTAAAAGTTTCATATAAATTTTAAAAACTTTAATAAATCTTTTTTCTGTAATAAAGATGAATCCAGAACATGCCAGACAAACCCTCTATCCCTGAGCTATACACTCAGACCTTTTCTAAAAATTGTGTTTTGAGGCCAAGTCTCACTAAGTTTCCCCAATGGCCTTAAATTTTGCATTTTCACGCCTTAGTGTTTTACAAGTAGGTAGGGTCACAGATGTGTACCATGACTGTCCTAATTTGATTGTAATAAACAAGAACTTCAAATTCATGTTTTAAAACAGCCAATGTATGGCCAGGGACTGAGCTCAGTGGTTCTGCGCCTGCCCCACAAGCGCAAGGACCTGAGTTCCATTCCCATCACCAAAAAAAGAAAACCCAGAGTACAACTACTTCAAACAACAATTGTCTTCTTTTTTGGTACTGGGAATGGAACTCAGGGGCTCAGCCTTGGCAGGTGCTGCTGAACTACACCTCCTCCACTAAAACAACAATATCCTAAGACATTCAATTTGACCTACATTTACATAATAAAACAGCCCCAACTGTTCTATAATTCAGCATGAAAAAACCCCTAAAATTCATATACAGAATTATATATTACAAGTTTTATTCTAGAGACAGAACTTTAATTTTTTAAAAGATCCCATTTTCCTTAGATTTTGCCCCATCTTTATTATTTAACATCTTAATAAATACATTATAAGATGTAACTAATTTCAAATATAGTTATTATAATTAAGTTTGTGATCTAGAAATAAATGACTATACTTTTAAAAACTAGTATTTGGAGCCAGGTGTGATGGCACATAATCCCAGCACTAAGGAGGCTGAGGCAGGACTGCTGTGACTTCAAGGCCATAGTGAGTTCAAGGCAGCCTGAACAATATAGCGGTGAGACTCTGTTCTCCAGAACAACCCCCAAAATTAATAAATGCATAAACAAACAAAGTAAAGGGATCTATGGCTTAACAGCTTAGAAATTTTGATAAACCAACAACTACTTTAGAGTTCACAGTAATTTTCGTTGTGGTTTTTTCATGATTTACTCTAAATAATCCCAAATAATATAAGAGTTTTATAGTATGGATTTTGAAATCTCTCACTTTATGTCTCGCATGAAATTCATGAATAACACCACGTCAAAATGTACCTCAGCAGAAGAGCGCTTGCCTAAGATGCATGAGGCCTTGGCTTTGATCCTCTGCCTCACAAACACAGACTATAAGGTGCTGGTAAACACACCCTCTAGGACTAACAAAGGCAAAGGTCAGGTCGCAGGGGCCTGCCCTGTATTTCTTTTGCTAAATGAAGATGTGTAGAAAACACTGATGATGATTCACTAATGCCAGTATCACATCTCTTATCCAAGAACTTGTGAATCCAAATTTATTCAGCGGGTAGCAATGTCTAGTAATCTTAGTAACAGTAGCACTTAATACCAAGACAAATCATACTTTCCTCAATAATAAAGCTCTCAAAAGCCAAAGACATTGGCGTAGGAAAAGATTTTATGAACAAAACCTCAGTTACCCATGAACTAGCACAAACAATCATCTCTTCTTACTAAAAATCTTCTGCACAGCAAGAGAAACCACCAGCAGTGTGAAGAGACAACTCACAATGTGGGAAAAAATCTTCACCTGCTCTTCCTCAGACAAAGGTCTACTATCTCGAATCTATAAAGAACTTTAAAGATCAGACCTCCCAAATTTAAAGACCCAATCCAAAAATGGGCATCTGAAGTGAACAGACATTTCTCAGACAAAGAAGTAGAAATAGCAAATAAACACAGGAAAAAATGCTCAACATCACTGGTCATTCGAGAGATGCAAATGAAAACAACGCTGAGATTCCACTTCACTCCAGAAAGAATGGCTGCTATCATGAAATCAACCAATAACAAATGCGGGCAGGGGTGTGGGGAAAGAGGAACCCTGCTCCACTGCTAGTGGGAGTGTAGACTGGTGCAAGCACTGTGGAAATCAGTATGGAGATACCTCAAAGAACTAGGACTGGAAGTCCCATTTGACCCAGCTATTCCCCAGCTGGGTATCTTCCCCAAAGAATTAAAAGAATCATACCACAGTGATATATGTGCACCCATGTTTATAGCAGCACAATCTGTAATAGCTAAAACTTGGAAACAGCCCAAATGCCCTTCAACTAGAGCCTGGATAAAGAAAATGTGGTTTTTTTTAATAAAATGGAGTACTACTCAGCCATAAAAAATGAGAAATTAGAAACATTTATTGCTAAATGGATGCACGTTGAGGCGATACTCTTAAGTGAAATCAACAGGACACACATGTGTAAATACTGAATAGTTTCTCCAGTGTGAGAAACAAAGTGTAAATAAGGATCAAAATGTATAATAGATAATGTGAAATAGGAAGAAAAGGGGCAAAGGGGAAAGGGAAGTGGGAGGGGTAGGGGTAGGGGAAAGGAAAGAAGGGAATGGAATTAATATGAGAAAATGAAAAAAAAAGCAAAGTCTTTGTAAATAGGGAGGGATGGAGGGGTTGAAGGGAGGGCAGTGGAAGGGGGAAAACAGAAGAACCAAGACATTATGTAAAGGTACAAATTTCCAATGATGAATGTCATTATATTGTACACCTAAAATGTACCAATAAAAGGATATACAAAGGAAAAAAAATACTGACTTTAAACATAATTAGGTAAATGAAAGTAGAAGCCAGGCATGGTAGTACACACCTGTAATCCTAAGCACTCTGGGAGGCTGAGGCAGGAGGATCACAAGTTGTAGCTCCACCTTGACAACTTAGCAAGACCCTGTCACAAAATTTTAAAAAGGGCTGGGGATGTAGCTCAGTGTGTAGGCCCTAAAGTCACTCCCTAGTACCAGAAAGACAGATGGATGGAGGACGGACAGACAGACAGAAAGAAAGGAAGAAAGGAGAAAGAGAAAGAAAAAAAGGAAAGGAAACAAAAGAAAAGAAGGAATTAATTTTGTCCTTTTATCTTCTGAAATGCTGTTTCACTGAAATTTCATCGCTGAACATCACATAAATGAAAATATTAGAAATAATTATTCTTTAAAATAAGTAGCAAAGGATTAGGAGTGTTATTCAGTGGTACTCCATGTGATTAATCTGCATAGGGCCCTGAGTTTGATTGTAAAAAACACAAAAAATAAGTATTAAAATGGAACAAATGACAATATGTATAATAATATAGTCTTTGGCCAAAGACCATATCTTTGTTTCCCAAAACAGAACAAAAAAACCAACAGATTTCTCTATTTTCATAATGAATAATATAAAAAAGGCCAGAGAAATACATTCAGCGTGTGCTGTGAACAAAAATACTGACAAGAAATCAGTATTACATCTTATCGTTTGTCTCAAACAGTAAGGTAAATAATGAAAAGGTGCAAAAATAAAATGAGGGGTGCAGCAAGGTGATATGCATAGATTGTCCCACCACCACAGAAAAATCAACCAAATAAAATGAAGAAAAACTAACTAAATAAAACTTTTTGTGCCGGAGATTTAGCTCAATGATCCCACTGCCTGCCTTGAAAGCACAAGGTCCTGAGTTTGATCCCAGAGTAGAAAGCTTACCTAGCATTTACAAGGGCCTGGGTTTGATTCCCAATATTGCTAAATAAATAAATCCTCCTTAAAAGGAGAAGGTTATATTTATGTGTGCTGAACTAAAATTAAGTTTTGTTTTTTCTGAGATGGGGTCTCACTATGCAGTTTAGGCTGGCTTTGAACACACTATGTAGCCCAGGCTGGCCTCGAACTCTCAGCAATCCTCCTGCCTCGGCCTCCTGAGTACTGGGATTATAGGCATACACCACCACGTCTGGCTTAAAATCAAGCATTTAAAACTATCAGTTGCATTTTCTGAGTCACTTCTCTCAACAAAACTACTGTCTATAATACAATGAAACACTCATTTAGACTAATGAATCCATGCGAAGGCATATTAGTATGCTCGTGCTCTGTGTATTCTGGAATTTGAAAATGTATTCAGAAACAAAAGTACAATAATGAAGGTGCTTTTTTAAAAAATGCTCCCAAACTCTTAACCTCCATTATTTTACGTACCTCTGCCACGTAGGGAAGTTATCTCCCTGTTTTTATTTCCCAAATACAAATTAGAATTTTGAGTTGTAGATGCAAAAATCACACCAAGAATTCCTACAATTCTCCTCACAATATCATCTGAATACCTTCAAAATGTGATCTAAACAGTGTTTTACTGACTGCTTCTAAAGCAGTCTCCTGAAATTGGGAAGTCACATCTATCTTCACATGCTTCAGAACTGTACCCTAAATTAGCCCTTAGCACTGAGATAGTTTCCCCTATTATCAATACAGGAATTCATAGTATTATCCTGTTTGATATGTAACTATCCGAAGTCTAAATCTACACTCATTTTACTTACATTAAAAAAAAAATAAGACAACAGGCCAAAGGGGATCTACTCAGGGTTTGGAGGAGCAGTCTGCGCTAAGACATGCACTCTCTTCACTCTTTCAAATCACATGGTTTGGTCCCTTGTCTCTTTTCAAGATGGGTCTCCAAAAATTCATGATTAGGGAAGCAAAAAAAAAAACAAAAAAAGTTTTAAAAACATATCCATTACGCAAAATAACCACTATTCAACAAAGATAATGGAGTCATCAAAAATATTTCTATTTAGTGAAATAAAGACAGAACAAATGATGGTGAAATAACCCATTACATTAAACTGTATCCCTAAGTTACAGGTATAGCCTAAGGTAACGTCTAAGCTATAGAGAAAAAAACAGTGAAAATTCTACTTCAAGGTATAGAGAACCAAACTGCAAAACACTTATGAACAGTGTGATCTGGGCTTAGGCTTCAACTGTGTACATTTTAAAAATAAACAAGTTAGATACTTATTATGCTACTTGTTATGAAGTTTTTTAAAAAAAAGATTCCTCAAAGTAGCTGCTGTAATCAAAATTTGGAGTAACTTGCCTTGTAGTACCAATCCTGAAATTTTTTGCAGCAGTCTTCACTGCAGAAATCTCTCACAACACCATCAAGTTCTTTAGTTGCTCCCTTCTTACAGAGCTGAGAACAATAGTTGCACGTAACACATCTTAATCCTAAACGTCTTGCAAAATCTTGTTTATACAATAGTTTGCAACCTGAAAAATACAAGGTTTAAATATTAAACAAAAAAATGTTTTTTGAGCTAAGACAACTTGTAAGTCTAATAGATTATTAGTTTTAGAAAGTATCCAATATATTCACATAAAAAAATCCTCTTTCTCTCCTGATCAAAATTCTACAATCTTCAGCAGTCAACACCAACCTATAAAAACTGATACAGAATATGGATATAAGAAAATACCTTATCATATATGTGTGTCTGAAGAATCAATGCTTTAAAAGACAGTAAAATCTAGTAATGTCTCAACTGTGGTATTCCATTTACTGTTTAAATAAAAGTATATTAAGTATCAAAGTAAGCACACCACTAATAAGAATTTTAGAGAAATGAATAATGCCAACTGCTGAGAGGCTCTGAGTAAATTCACAGATATGTTCAGCTAAGTAAGCATTTTAGCCAAATTTTCTACTTACTTCTCTGTCACCCAATGTGGATCCTTTCTGGAAGTAAAACTGGTTTACTGACTTGTCCAAAGAAAATCCTTTGTTATCTATTCTCTTCATGAAGTATTTTTTTCCTACTATATTAGTGCATTATTTTAAGTGCTTTTTTACTTACCTAATGCAGTCCCCATAATGTCCCTATGAGGATTAAACAATTTTCCCTGCTTTCATTCATGTCACACCATATAAGCAGAATGACACTCTATTTAGATGTAACTACTGAAATTCTATCCATCTTTTAATAATGAACTCAAATTATACCTCTACCACTAATTCTGTCCTCATAACCTAGTTTTAAGTGATCCTTCCTACATGTAAACATGAAATGCAACTGTTCTTTAATTTAGCCATGATTTAATGTACTGTGTCATTCAAGTACTATATTATAACTTGTTACCTTTAACTATATCTAAAAGCTTTGTATTACAATTTTACCTTCATTAGTTTTAACTAGATTTTGATGCTATTTTTATGTTATTTCTGATAGGTTCCTGTAAAACATTAGGTGGAGTACGAGAAAGCAAAAAATATGTTATTTGTCAGGTAAAAATACATAACCTTTTAAGCTTTTTTATTATTCATCTAACTGTTTAAGACCCTCTAACTGAAAATGATGTTAAGTGTCAATTATCTATTTGCTGCTCTCTATGTTAGTAAAATCTAGACAGAAAGGTAAGTGGTTCAGATCACTGACACATAAACAATTACATCAATGCCTTTGGACTGACGAAATTAGTTTAAGACTATTTCTCTACAAAAACTCAAGTGTAAAACATAATTTAGAATTATTCTCTTCAACATTTTAGAATTTATTATTTTCATAATAGCTTTGTTCTCAACACTAAAACAATGTTTACCTTTCATTCCAGGTGAAATGCATGCATTTAATCCAAATAGGATTGTTTAATAAGCAGTACCTTTTTACATACAAAACATTATGCATGATAAGTATAAATGGAGGTGCCAGCCAAATGAATGGATAAATATTTTAATTTTGTTGTCATTTCCTACTGTCAGTATTTAGGATTTTCCAACTTTTTCTTTTCCCAAACTACCAGAAAATCCATAGAAAATGCAGATCCAGGGGGAAAAAAAGAAAGAAAAAGAAAAAGAAAAACTCTCATTGGAACATAAGTGAAGATAGCAGATAAGAAAGCTGAGAGCTCCGTGACTCAGGCCAAAGAAAAAACAGAACGTAAAAGCCAGCTCAGAGGAAGAATGTGACGCTGTGGAATGCTAACAATGACAAGAACCTCAAAACCATATGAGCTATAATTTTGGTTGCTAACTCTAGATGTAGATTTACAACTCGTGTCCATTTCTATAATCTGCTGTGTGGCAGCAGAACAGCCTGAAACATGAATGAGTAACAGGGAAATTCTTGAATTTCCTTCCTTATAACAGCACCTAGTGTTTTCAGGCATAACGCATTTATAACCTAAAATTTCCTACTATAACACTGTCACTATATGTGATTTTCTTTCTGGTATAGATTAAGTATTCCTTTTTCTGAAATACTTGGGACCAGAAGAGTTTCAGATTTTGGAATAGCATAGACTAATTTACTGACTAAACTTCTCTCATCTGAAAAATCCAAAATCAGAAACACTCCAAAATGTTGGCACTTAGAAATTTTGGATTTCAGATTTTCAGATTAGGGATGTTTAACCTAAACATTGAAAACTTTTGAAGGCAGGGAAAATGAAGCTAATGCGAAACGATTCTAACCCACTTGAAAAACCAACTTTTAGGCCACCACGTAAGTGTAGGTGGCATGGTATGATGAAACATTTATTTTCAAAACTTCCTTATCATGGAAAAAGTGTTTATCAAATTCTTAGAGATAAAACCTTTGAGGTTTAGAGGTCTACAAATACATACAAAATAACAAAGCATGTCAGTAGAAAACTGAACTCAATAGTTTTGGTCAGCTACATTAAAAATTGTGCAAGTATTCATATTTTTTAAATATTTTGGCAAAAAAACATTAAATATCAATAAAAATTATAAACACTGTATATACACTTGCCTTCACTACAGAAAGGTCTCTTAACGCCAGAGAAATTTACTGTTTCATGAAGAGTCTTCTCCTCTTGACAGTATTCGCAATATGTAACTATGCAATGCAGCTTCTTATAGTCATCTGAACAAGTTTTGCTGCAGAACTGATGCACTTTGTTCTAAACGCACAATGGGAACCTTGGTAAGTATATGACAACCACCTTAAAACAAGTTTAAGAAATAAACAAGCCACTTTTAAAGACAAATTACATAATTTACCTATTGAATGTCAGGATCATCAGGGATACTTTTCCTACAAGCCACAGACACCTAGTTTAACCAATTCTCTGCTAAGTTTTATAAACACAGTTCCACACAATTCAACAACCATTAACCACCCTAAAATTACTCACTGAAAGTATCACTAAAATAAGAAAGTAGTCTGGTGTTGCTAATAGAATTGGAGAAATGGCAAAGAAACAATGAAGATATGATGTGGGTAAATTACAGAAGGATGAGAATTATGATACTAATAACATTTTCAGTTAAAAATAGTATGTTGAGTAGAGGCAAACAGATCCAATCACATTCCTGTTACATCCTAATTCTGTAGTAACAGATCTATCACGGCTAGATATTAAATCTGGTGCTATCACATAGTATGATCAGAAACTTGAGACTGAGTGGGTTCCCTTAAAGGGAACATATTTAGTAACTGAGTTATTTCTTCTGGTCCCAAACCCACAATAGCCAGAGCTGCTTTTCAAATATTTAGCCAGGCAGTTACCAACAAGGTAAAACTTTCAAGGCAGCTCTTCTCCTCTGACGCTTAGGAAAGATACAGACTAAGTTTAAATCATTTGCCTAATACTTCTCAAAGATATGAAAATCAAAATAAGGTGAGAATATCTAGGAATCAACTCAGTAGTTAAGGCAATCATCAGCTGAAAGTTGCCCCAATAAGTATCTAACTTACATGAGAGAAAAAGGGCAACAAAGAAACCACAAAATTGCCATCCATGGAGTAAGAAGCAAGAGGAACCTGGAACTCTCGTTCTCATGAGGTTCAAGACAACCTCAACTCTTACACAGCATAATGGTATCTCTAACTTACAGCACTTAGCAACCACTTAGCAAAACACTAAGACTACAAAAGTTGGGTAACACTGACTCTCACATGTGGAAAGGACCTCATTTTCATCTAGTTTTATCAAATCCAGATTGTACAATCTACATTTCCTACATAACATTATTTTATATGCTTTCTAATAGATGGCCTTCCTTTCTTTCCTTTTTCATTCCTCCATCTTTAAGCTTTTATTCACTATTCTTGGGCCTTCAACTTTTTGCTGTCACGTAAAGAGAATATTAAGTCACTAAAAATCATCACTGAATGCTAACAACAGTCTCCAAAAAAAAGAAAAAGACTCATTTAAAAATGCTCTAGAGACAGTACCAAATAAAATAATAAATTAATAATAAAGTAAAAAACTTCCCAGGCATTAAGATAATGAAATTTCTGATTTCCAAGTATTTTAGAAATCATATGGTCCACTTCAGGGAAGCACTTTTTCATCTAGACCCAGCTACTCAGTGAGTTGCCAACAAGCACCAATAAAATTTTGTGCAGGAACAGTCTGTTGTTAGTTCTACATCTTGTACAACATTTTATCATCCCTCCATGCTCCACCTCCCATACAATTCTGCCTCTAAAAGAGTGAAAAGAAAGAATGACCAAAGATGAGCACTGCTCAAGAAAGCAATGGCAGTAGAGCTACCTTGTCTACCTATCCATCCACAACTGCCCCCTTATGGAAACAGAAGTACAATGCTCAGAGTCACTAAGAGCAAAAGGACATGGCAAAGTAATCTAGTCAGAGAGATAAGAAAGAGAAAATAAACTAAATATATTAGGATTCATAGCCCTCTACTCTTAATAAAACAAAATTATAAAATGTTAAATGACAATGTGGCTAACAAATTCTAATTTTTACAGATACTGAATGACACAAAGGTATTATAGTACACATATCTATGAGGACAGAGAAAAATGAAAAACAATGTAGTCACTTTAGCTATGTAGCTAAACAAAATGACATTTTGTACTCTACAGTGAATGTAATATATTACTGTGACTGTGACTTCAAGAATTTCTTGTCAACCTCAAAGGAAATAGATCCTGCTGATCTACTCTACCTAAAGTAAATAAGCCAATTTTAAGACCTTAAAAACTTACTCTTCTCTACTAAGAAATAGGCTTCCAGATGGTAAAACCAGTTTTTTAAAACTAGATTTTCATTTTAGCACTAGATAATACATATAACAAAATATGACTTGCCTCCCATTCCAGGATTTCTGGTTTTGAACAAAAGGAATTTTTGCAGTAGTTGCATTTCAACTGAATATCATTTGGTGCTACAAATGGACCATTTGGAGATGACTGCATGCTTAGAGCCTAAAATAAAGAACAAAATATACTGAGCTGACAGGTACTTTAGAATTTGTTTGTGACTGCTATAAAATTCCTACTATATACAGAAACGAATATGCATCTTTATGAATATTTTTTCAACACAAAAACTATACTTATGAATTTTGTCTCCAAATTATACTAATATAATTAGTTTTATAAAACTGAAATTTATTTTTGTTTTAATCAAGAAATTATATACCTAAAATAAGTATGGAAAAGAAAAAAATACAGTATAATTATGGTGTTTGTTCTCTTGAAAATGTAATCAAATAATACAGAGGTTAATTGCCAAACTCCTGAATCAGCAAATAAAACCCAAAAAGAAAACACAAAACCTAGGTCCTGCTGCTAACAACTTCCAAATATCTAACTAATGATTTATCTCACTGCATCACTGGCACAATTTTCATTCCAAGTTCATCAGTGAAAACAGCCTATCACTTTTAAAAATTAATCTTTTGTTCTTCAAGTTTAGGGGAAAAAGATTTACAAGCCAATATTCATACCAGGAATTTATTGTTAGTTTTATTACACTTTTTAAAAGTTAAAAATAATTTATAGAGTAAGACAGGAGCTAACTAAGCATATTTGGACCTTAAAAGGTTTTTTTTTAGTTCTTAATACAAATGGTGAGTACATGGGTATTTATTCTTTTGAACCACAGACACACATACATATATTACATATAATCTAAATTCATGTAATAGTTAATTAAATGATTTATTCAAGGTACAGTGAAGGAAGAAAGAAATCTATCATTTTTAAAATATCTATATACACTGTACAACACAACACTCGTGAAAAACTACAAATGCAGATTTAAGACATTTACATAAAAACAACATTATCCTTAGTTTCTAAAATATTAACCCTGATTAAAGCTAACTATTCTTTTTTCACAGTACTGGACTATGTTATAGTCTAAACATCTGTGTACCCCAGAATTCCTAAGTTGAACTCCTAACCCCCAAGGTGATGCTATTAAGAGAAAGGGCCTTTGGGCCACCCTTCTGATCTACTCAATGCCTTCATTAAAAAATAAAATACAATAAAAAGGTCTACTGGACCTTGTCTGCCCCTTCCCCCACGTTAGGAGAAGGCGCCGTGCATGAGGAAAGGGCTCATCACGGCACAACCTTCTCAAAGTCCCTATCCCGGACTTCCTTCCCAGCCTCCAAAACTACGAAGTATGAATTTCTGCTGTTTATAAGGTAAACCTGCCTGCTCTCAAGTATTTTGTGACAGCAGCTAAAACAGATGAAGATCTTATTTTACTTTTAAAATGAAAATGAAAAAAAATAAAGCTAATAAAGACAAAAAGTTCAAAATATATGACTTGCTTTAAAATTAAGAAAAACTTGTTGTCAGTTTGTCAACTTTGTTTCATATGCAGGCAGTGATGATGCTGCCTGCAGGCTTGTCTGGATGCACTCCTCAAAATCAAGAGCCTAAATTAAGCACTATTTCTTTAAAATATACAATGTAGACAGGGGCCTCATCAAATAAAAAGCACTACAAATTTCAATAATATGATAAGGTAGTTAGAACATTTTCAAATACCAGTTCATTACCAACAACATCAAAAAGGAATAAAGACAGTTTAGCATCTGGCAAGGAGTCTATCACTGACACTGTCCTTCTCTCTTCAAATTATCACTATTACTTAATTTCTAATTTAAGAAAATCCAACAAGGCAGAAACATTTACCAGTAAGAATGTATCAATGGTTGGCCATGATCTCAACTTCTAAAATAAAAATTTAGTCTTGAATGTGGTTTACAATCTAAATTCAGTGAAGATATAACTTAACAAAAACATTCACTTTCCTACATTCAAAACGACCTCAATTTAAATGCTAAGAACTGTTGTAATAACTATCATAACATATTTAAGAAACTATATTTTCAGTTTAAATAAATTAACATAAAGCACAGTACCTGGAACAAAGTAGAACTGTTGGATGAATTAACTCATGAAGCATGGCTTTATGCACACTTGGTTTGAATCTTTGGGCAATACCCTGAAATTTTCACACACAACAGGTAAACCTACTAGTACTACCTAACTAATGCTTGAATACCCTGTAAACTACTCCTTCCTAGTGGTCAACCAGGTTATCTTTGAACACTTTAGTAACACTATCTTCTGAGAGTGTTATCCACACTCCAACTTCGAAGAACTATGTAAGAAAAGTTCATTACATTTACTAAACTGAAAAATGTTTCCCTGCAATTAATCCTATATAAAATTAAAGCCTACTGTAAGTCTCATCCCCTCCTTACTGGCTCATTTCTAAGAGTACTTAACATCTTCAGGCTAAATATACTTCATTTATCATAAAGCAGAGTTCCTTTTCAGATTCACATACTATTCAAACCATCTAATAGGAAAATACTATATATCAAGCACTGAGTTCAACAATTTTAAAATTTATTTTCCCTCAAAATCTGTACCATAAAAACAATTCAAAAGTCAAACATATCTGTGCTAAAGAACTGGTGAAGTCAGGTCTACTGTGATTCATTCTAGAATTTCCACCCTCCAATGTGACCCTCCATTAAACTATGTAAAAAATTAACAGATCTGACAAAGATAAAGGATATTACACTGATTGTTTTCTACATGTATTTTAATGGCAGTGAGGGTTATACAAAATAAACAACAAACCTGAAATTTAGCCACACAACTGGAATTGCAAAAATTATACAGTTTTCCATCAGGCATTGTGGCTTGGTATTGAGGTAAAGAGTTTCGCTTACAAAAATGGCAAATAATTCCCAAACCTAGGAGAGAAAAGGTACATATCTGATTTCTTCATAAAGCAATAAAAGTTGTTTTGTAAAATCTTACAAGACTGTTGAGCTTTTTTTTTAATGGAACTTTCCATAGACCACTCTTTTATTATATGTACTTTAAATATTCAAGATACTTATACTTTTAAAAATATTGTTGCTGTGTGTGCACACCTGTAATCCCAGCACTCTGGGAGGGTGAAGTAGGAGGATCATACACAAGTTGGAGCACAACTTGGGCAACTTGGGAAAACCCTGTCTTTAAAAAAAAAAAAAGCCAGGCTGGGATGTAGCTTGAGTGAAGGTGGGTTCAGTCTCCAGTATTGTTAAAAGCCATCATAGGGGCCAGGGATTTAGCTCAGTGGTTCTGCCGCCTGCCTCCCAAGCGCAAGATCCCGAGTTCGATCTCTGATACCAAAAAAAAAAAGCTATCATAAAAGACAACTTTTAGTACTTTGTCTCTAAAACATGCATGGATATATCAAAAAATCTGTTTTAGGTAAACTTCTGGATGGAACAATTTTAGCTAAGAACATCAATAACTTAAAAATAAAAGCAGTCTTTAAAAAGCATAAAAACAACATCAGAGTAGTTGTTTCTGAAATAATTATGTTATTAAGATGTTTTTAACTGTCCAGGGGGCCGGGGATTTAGCTTAGTGGTTCTGCTGCCTGCCTTGCAAGCGCAAGATCCCAAGTTTGATCCCCGGTACCAAAACAAAGATTTTTTTAACTGTCCAAATACCTGAAACTTACTTTGTGATTTTGCATATTTTGTCTTGTGACTGTTCATGCAAGCAGTTGAACAATATGGTTCCATATATCCATTAGGACCTATACACTGAGTCATATCAAAAAACCTGCACTGTGTTCGGCAGCCAGTACAAGTTGTCAGTTTCCCATATTTCTAAAATTTGAAACACATAAAGATAATTAACAAAACCATAATTTATTTAGAAAAAACTCATTTTTTGCTTTGTAATCAGTGTATTAAGGAGACATTCATACATTTCAACAACTGCTTAAATTGTGATACCAAAGCGATTCATCATAATTTGCTGTACTATTACCATTAAATTAGTTACTTTAGGCAAAAGTCAAATGGGTTAAAGTAAGCCTGTAACATACTTAAGGAACACCTTCTTATATTAAACATGCAAATTAGCTTTCCATGTAGTCTCTTCACTTTACTTTCAAAGTTACCCAGCTCTGAAGTCACTACTCAAGGGCTTATCATGGTCCAAAGATAAGGGAAAAAGAATATAACCAGGACTGATCAACATAGCTTTATATATATTTTTATATATATATATATATTTCAAAAGATGGTACAACAGAAGGGAATGCAATCCTAGAAATGCAAGCCCTTAAGAAGCAGCATTATTATAATAAACCCCTTCTTCAGAAAGGTATCATTTCTATTACTGATACCACAGGCTAAATTATATTTTATGCCACCTTCAAGTAATAGTTGAGGAAACAGAATGCAGAGGCATCACAATGAGTCCCACTTAATACAAATAACTAGACAGACCAACACTTCTACAAATTGTTTCCTTTTTCTGATTGCCAGTTAAATAGTTTTAATCCACAGCTTAACAATGAAGGGTCATACACTAATGTCAACATATATACCTAACATTTCAGTCTAACCTTGTCTATGTATACAACTGCAATCAATTACAAGGTATGGCCTAACAGACACCAAGGTTAGGTACTTTTTACAGGCATTAAACTTCATCTTACACACTGAAGTCATCATACACACAGGGCAAGGTCAGAGCTTTTATATTTGTATTTATTCTTCATTTAATTTTCAAAACACTACTATAATTGAATATTGAAACAAAAACAAGTAGTGAGCAATGATTATAGTCCTTCGTGTGTTCATTACAGTACACAAAATGCCAGCAGTGAGTATTATTCACTGCCCCATTAAGAGGTTTGACCACCCCTGGGATGATGTTGTCATCCTCATAGGCTTCTCCATTATAATGGCGCTGTCTTTCCTGATTTGGATCTAAGTCCACCAGTTTTACCTGATCCATTTCATCCGTCTCTTCTACTTCCTTCTTCATGGGTAGGAGTTTTTCCAGCAAAGAGAGTTTATCAGGAGAGAAAAAGCCATTTTCAGGAAAGTTTACCTTAAATTCGATAATTCGACGACCCTTTTCATATGGTCTATGATCATTGGCATGCCTTCATTTAGCACACACTTGATGTCTCCATGCTTGACAATCTGACCTGGATGAGAGGGGATGACTATGGTTCAGTTGTCAAGAGTGGATATTGGCTTTTGGAAGCCACACAGTGCTTCAATCAGCTGTATATCCATACACATGAAAAGGTCTTCTCCTTGTTGAGTGAAAACAGCATGGTCTTTCTGATCTAACACAATGGTAATGCCTTCTGGCTCCTGTCCTGGTTCTTGGTCTCCTTCACCATGGAATGTTATCTTCTGGCCATCTTTCATGCCTTTGCCAATGTGAACTTCTAGAACCTTCTATCTTCCTTCCATTGCAGCTTTTTCATCTGTCTTTAGGACTGATGTGTTCTCCATGGCCCTGGCACTCCATACACAGACTGAATTTGCTGAACCATTCCAGGTCCTCTCTGATGAATTCTTATTTGCATTCCAGTACCTTGGCAGTTGAGACAGCACTCCACAGCTCCTTTCTTACCACCTCGGCCTTCACATTGGTCGCAAGTCACGTTCTTTTGCAGAGCCAGTTTCTTTGTTGTACCTCTATACAGATCTTCTAAGGCAACCGAGAGCTGATGTACCACATTTTTACCTCTCCTTTCTCTCTGCATCCTTCCTCCTCCTCCAAAAACATATCCATGGGGGAGCCAAACTCACCACCTGCTCCACCCTCCTTAATTGCCTGTTCTCCTCCTTTGTCATATAATTCCCTTTTCTTGGTATCAGAGAGAACTTCAGAAGCTTGAGAAATGTTTAAACTTTTCTCCTTCATTTGGATTCTTATCAGGGTGGTACTTCAAAGCCAGTTTCCTGTAAGCCTTTTTCAATTCTTCTTGGGTGGCACTGGGTATAATCCCCAAAACATCATAGCAAGTGATTTCTTTCACCATTTTCTACAGCCGGGTAAGCAAGCTGGGCCGGAGTGGGAGAAGCGGGAAAGAGCACGACGTAGCAGTGCATAGCTCAGGCTGAAAAAACTCATTTGTTATTACAACTTTTGACTCTGCAGAACAATTCTGTTAATCTCTAAAGAGTCAGGAACCTTCATCTATACACACATCTATATATATACAGTTGCAACAACTGCTAAATTAAGGTCAAATTAGGTCATCAGCTAATTCTTCAAAATTAGTGTTATTCTTTATTAACTGAGTTTAACAGAATCTCTATATACAGGTTAAGTAAAATCTGAAAACCTAGGAAAGGCAGTGCTGTTTCATTTACAGTGAGGACACACTTCTTTTACATGGAGCATGAAATGTAAGTCTTAATAATCAAAAATATTGCGAAGAAGGAATTTGAAGATTTAAAAAACTTCTTCCATTGAGCTGTTAAACAGCTCCAAGCATTTTTGGACTTGTTTTAAAAAATGGTTTACCAGGCCCCAGGAGTTTAGCTCAGTGGTTCCACCACCTGCCTCATAAGCACAAGGACCTGAGTTCAATCCCCAGTACCAAAAAAAAAAAAAAAAAAATGACTTCTGGTTATTGCCTGAAAGTTAGTATGTGATTAGTAGTTTATAATAAACTTTATCCTCCTGCAATGAGGTGAATATTTGCCAACAGGGAGGTACCTCAAAGAGATGAGATAGATTATGAAATTAACACCAAAAGTGATACTTCTAGGAAAAAAGCAGAATTGCTGAAATAGTCTTATAAAAACACAATTCAGAAGAACTGCTGTTTGTATTAAAAAATTAACTTCATAATCACAATTAGAAATCAACCATAAGAGATGTCTTTAAGTGCAACTTATATTTATCCCCTTTCTGAATAGTTACATAAGTCAGTCATATCTATCTTTCCACCTAATGTTTATGTCCTTTAACTCCACCTTCATGAACAAGAGGATCAGGTACAACATAAAAATGTAAGAAGAAACGAAGTGTTCCATGGATGAACAACATATGCCATAAACCAGTGGTACGGAAAACTAGTGATAGGGAACCTATGGCACTCATGGTGCAGCGGGCATGCAGAGCTCTTTGTCAGCACGAGAGCCAGTTTACCCCAGCAGCCGAGGAACTGGATAACATCTAAACTAAAAGTTCAATATTCAGGTTTACTGCAGGGCTGGCACTCTGCAATAAATAAGTGGGTTTTGGGTTCCAGTTTGGGCACCTGGTCTCTAAAAGGTTCACCATCACTGCCACAGATGATGATGAGTAGGCCAAAAATAAATACATGAAACAGACAAGACTACATGGAAAAATTCCACAGACACTATGAGATCTCACCAAGTAAATGTAGTTAAGTGTTAAAAACATAACAATGAGCACAAGGACCTGAGTTTGATCCCCGGTAGCCAAAAAAAAAAACAAAACAATGAATGGGGTAGCAATATAGCTCCGTTGTAGAACACTTGCTTAGCATGCATGAGGCCCTGGTTTTGATCATAGCACCCCAAAAAAAACCCAGGGGCCAGGGATTTAGCTCATTGGTGCTGCCACCTGCCTCACAATCGCAAGGTCCTGAGTTCGATCCCCAGTACCAAAAAACCAAAAACCAAACAAAGAAACAAAAAATCTACAAGTAACATCCATCAACTCTGAAAGAAAACTTTCTCATCACAGAACAAATATAGCAGGTATGAGAAAAAACAGCTGTTTATGTGCCAGGAATGTATGTCAGTCATTCTGGTACTGTAAGAAAATAACCCATATTGCCTTTTCCTCACTTGCTTAAATATCACATAAAGGATGCCTAAACTTTACTTTCTTTTTTTTTCTTTTTTTTGGGGGGGGGGGTGGTACCAGGGATCAAACTTGGGACCTCTAAACTTTACTTTCAAAAGCAGAGATGGATTATCTGATAAATCTCAAAAACAAATATTTACCAACAGACAGTAGAGGAATGGTGACAAGGAACAGTCAAGAATGGCCATGAATATATCTATGAGATGTGATTAAAAAAAAAGTTTAAAAATGTATTACAGTAAAATTGATCCACTTCAAAAAAAAAAAAAAATCAATCCACTTCAAAAATACTTATCTCATCATTCTTGCCCCTTTTAAAAGTGTTTTTAGTAAATGCCTTTAGTTGCACTACTATGGTTGATGCCATGTCCTCAATCAATTCAAATATTTACCTTTCGTGGTCATTTTGACTTTGGGAAAGACCCTTAAGTTGCTTGGTGTCAGATCTACTGAATAAGATGAAAGAGGGCACACCATAACGTTTTCAAGAGCAAGACTCTCTGTTGTATGGCACTCATCAGTAGCACTTACTGCATTTTTTATCACTTCTCATAAAGATATTCACAAAAGACTTCCAGAATTGCTCCAGAAAGTGCCAACAACAATGGGACAAGTCCCAGTGTTTCACCAGCTCAGCTATCTACCCTGAAAAACATATGTCCCTCTGGACCACCGCTTTCCATCATGCCCCAATTTTCTAGATCTTTTGTCACTGGGCAGCGAGATGCCAGATATCCATTATTTGGCCAACCACTGCAGTACAACCATTCTGCTGTTATCCACGGACACATTTCAAGCCAACAGGGTCAGGCTGGCAGCAGGCATGGAAACCGGGAGACAAGCTAAAAAAGCTGCATCCAGACCTTGGAGCAGGAGTAGCAGTTGTTGGGAAGGTCTTGGAAATTACTGAACTACCAGATGGAATGACTCATATGGAAGCTTAAAAACTTTCTGGGGAAGCCTTCAAACTTGGCGCCACGATCCGATGGCTCCGGGACCCCCAGTCGCA